TTGCTGCATTATCGGTGGTTATTGTGTAAATCTGCTCAATTTTTATTTCATATTCTTTTAAAACATCTAGAATAGTTTTTTTAAGATATTCTGATGTGTGTCGTTCTTTAATCACTTTCATGCATAGAGTCCTTAATTTTATTTTTCCGTTATTTATAAATTAAATATTGATCCCCAATATGGACCTATCATATCTAGTTGCTATATCTAATTTTAACGAAATAAGTTTTTGATACACTTCCTTTTTTATATTTTCCGAAAAATCTAACGCCATTTTTTTAATATTATTGCGTATATTTTCCGAATTGATAGTTAAATTTCCACCCAATCCTATAATTATTGGGTCTATATTTCGAAATGCTTTGTCGTCAATTTGGCCTACCGTGAACTGTTATTAGCTCGGTGCAGGAGCGGATTAAAGTTTCTTTATTTATATTGATTTGTATTGTAGTAGTGTTGGACTTAAAAGCATCTTGGATTGTATTATACTGGTTTGCAGTTTTCGTTATTTGAATTTTTTTAATAGTCAAATTTTCTTTCTTTTTTCTTAATAATTTGAATTCCCTATTGTGGAATCTTTCTATATGTCGTTCAAGATTTGCAGCATGGTCTCCAGTTAAGATCTTACCACAATCTTCTATTTTACAAATAGATTGATTTTTTATGATATCTAATTTAAAAAGGAACGCAAAGGATTTGACTTTTCCCGAACCATTTAATAGATAACTAAAAAGCTATATGATGATAGATGAAAATCTTTTATTATATAAATAGAATAAATAAAAAAGCTTAATAGAAACAATTTTACCATCATTTTTATTTTTTTAAATAACTTGGATTATAGAATTTAAATGACAATAAATAAAATGGTCAGCAATAAATATTTTAATGATATAATAATTTTTTATTTAGAAAAATCATATTTTTTTTTAAATTCAGAATTCTAATATTTATTATTAAAATAATATGTTAGTTAGCATTTACCATTATCATATATGCAAAATAAAAAAAATATGATTAAAGAATGGCATTTGTAATAAATATTTTTCTAAATCTGTATTTTTAAATAATAAAAATCTTACTATAAATCTTCAGTTTAAATAAGTTAACTAACATTGCATTAAATTATTTTATACTTTTATTTATTTGTGTTTTATATTAAATAGACTTACATTTAAAAATAGGAATTACATTTTGATGTTAAACTAAATATAACTAGTATAGTATAATTCAAATTACCCACTCTGATATATTCTATATAAACTAAGATAAACTTTTTTTGAATATATCAATTAATAAGAAATTATTGTAAAACAATATTATATAAAAATTGGTCAGTACTTTATTTCTGTTAGATGTTAATATAATATGACAGAATAGGTAATTTAAGTTAAACTATAGTATTTATATTTAGTTTAACATCAAAATGTAATTCCTATTTTTAATTCACTGTAAGTTTATTTAAATATAAAACACATTAATAAATAAATAAAAGTATAAAAATAATTTAATGCAATGTTAATTAACTTATTTAAACGATTTATAGTAAGATTTTTATTATTTAAAAATACAGATTTAGAAAAATATTCATTACAAATGCCATTCTTTAATCATATTTTTTTATTTTGCATATATGATAATGGTAAATGCTAACTAACATATTATAATAATAAATAATTTATAATATTAGAATTCTGAATTTAAAAAAACAATGATTATAAATAAAAAATTATTATATCATTAAAATATTGATGACTATTTTATTTATTGTCATTTAAATTCTATGATCCAAGTTTTTATAATGAGATAAAAAATTTAATTTAGCCAAGAATAATAATGTCTGATTTTAAGATATCTTATCTAATTAACAGATAAATTGTCTAATCTCTTATAAATTAAGTATTTAAAGAAAAAACAACAAACCTGGTATTATTTGATATATAATGTTGATAATATAAAAATATTTAATTTATGTTGATAATATGGAAATATTTAATTTGAAAAGAAATCACCAATTTAAAAAATGCCCCCAAGGAAAATTAAAATTTTAAATTTAGGTTAATAATTTAAAATTAATTATTTTTAAAACCGTTTTGAACCGGTTTAAGCCGGTTCAAAATATTTATAACGGTTCGGTTTGCTCTTTTAATATTTTCTTCATAACGGTTCGGTTAAGGTTACGGTTCAGAAAATCATAACGGTTCATTCCGGTTTTGCGGTTCGGTTCGGTTCGAACCCCTGGTAAAGATACCTTAACGAATATATTCCCTAATTCTTAAAATCGATATTAATAAAAAATTATAGTAATTTGCATCTGATAACTGAATCAAAATAACGACCGTCTACTTTGTCAAGAGAAATGTTGACCGGGCAATTTATAAATAAACAGGCAGGGCTTCGTAAATCTTTGATTTTTCATAACATTTTACTAGGCCAGCCCAGGCTTTAAAATTTTTATATAGTTTATTGAATCATTCAAATATTTAATTGGATACTATTTGAAAATAAGTTTCAATATGATTAGTATTTTGTCTTATACCAAATAAAAAGTTAGTAATTAATAAAAGCATTTAATGAATTTGACCACTCAAATATCGGTCAATTGACCAAATTTTATTTGACCTGTTAAATACCTACTTCTTCTTTTTATAATTAATCGTGCTATTACTCTTATATAATTGCAATAATTTTAAATTAAATTAAAGGAAATAAATTATATCTTATTTGATGGGGGTGATCCAGAGGGTCACAGGAATTTTCGCCACCCGCGCTCATCTTTATACATCATCAAACTACAAATTTTACGCGGATTCTCTATATAAGATTTTTTACATTTTTTCAAAAATTTCACACAAATAATTATTTTCTTTAATCTGCAAATTTTATGAGGATTCTAAATACATAAAGATATCTATACTTATAATTAATCAAATTGCTCAAAATCAGAGTTGGAAAGGTCAATTGGCCGAAAATATATTTGACTGGGCAAATATGGTCAAATACTCTAAAATGTTATTTTTAATATTTTTGATAATATATCATAATTATTAATTTTTCTAAAGGAACCTGTTTATCAATTTAATCACCGAAAATCTATTTATAAAAGAGTGTTTTAAAAGAACACCCCTATTTATAAATTACCCAGTCTAAAGCAGTTTACGAGATCTCTCCTAGATAAAGCTTGTGAAAATATAGAAGTGTAGGTTGCGGATATTATTCATAAAGTTTCCCATTTATCTTTTGTTTGAGATGACTTGAGCAATATCCGAAATGAAAACATTAAATAAACTTATACCAAGTGCTATTTTCTCACTAGAGAGATTAGCACGCCATATCATTACCTTAAGTAAGATTAGTTTAGGTGGGCATCTTCAATAAAAATTTATGCAACAAATACAAATTATAACTTAGACGAAAGACTCAGATAAATTTATTATATACTTTCACATATTGGAAAAATTATCCTTGATTGCACTACCCATTGACTTAAACCTTATAGACCGAAAAATATTGGAGATGCTGATACTCATATAAAAATTATTTCTATCTGATTTTCTTCTAGAATTTTTGACAAACTAATTTATATGCAACTCAAAGTGGGTAACGGTAAAATAAATATTTTATATCATTACTCTTATAGTCAGTGTTGTTAAACGGCTCGATTTTTTTAGCCAAAAAATATTACACAAGCCTCAAGATTTTGTTAATAGATGCGCTCCTACCTTTCTGCCATTTGGTAAAATCTCAAGACTTGCCTAATATTTTTTGGCCAAGATATTGGGTTAGCCGTTTTTAAAAATCTAGCTGTTTAACAACACTACTTATAGTTATTATATAGAATATTTTTGAAATTAGATTTTTTTTTTAACAATAAACATGCTAATGGGGTGAAAAATTACGAGCATACCTTGATTATTGGAGCACACTGCCAGATTTCGAAGATCAATATATAGCCAAACTAATGTCTATAAATATACTTGAATGGCTGCTTACCCATATTCATATAAATGATAATACTTTGACTACAACGCAGATCTTCTGATTTCAATTAACTTTACTAAGTCCGTCCTTTTATTTATATAAAAGACTTTAGAAGGGAAATAATGAAAAGATTGTCTATATGGAAGCTTACCAGCAGAGCCTAACCATCCTACACCATCTAATTAAAAGAAAGTATCCTTGGATAGGAGATGTGCCTTCACATTTACCTATAAGATCAGAGGAAAGGAGAAAATGTGCTCATTGTTAAACTTATTTTTTATAATAAAATTATAACAAAATTATATGAGATTTTTACTATATATTTTCATTAAAAAATTTTACATGTGCAAAATCTAACTTTTTGGTCATAAATTTATGATAGGATTTTCACTGGATGCAAACCCCCTCAAAACTTATGCCTACCCCTCTAAATAATTTTCGCCACCTCCAGCGGCGATGTTTTTACATTATTAATTACACCTTTTTAATTATAATTGTATTCCTTTTATAAATTTTAAAAAGAATAACTTAAATTATTTTAGCTCAACTACCAACTATCAAAATATTGTGAATATAAAAGAGTTATTTTTTAGATCATAAATTCAATAAAAACCCCCTCATTTGCAATGAATGTATTATTATAGCATATGTTTGGCATGAATATGAGTTTGAGAATGTCTAACCCTTTTAAATGTAATTTAAAAGTAGCAGAAAGTTTTATTTCAAAAATAATGTCTATAATTGTTTGCAAATAGATTTGGTTGATGATCAGCAATATCATTGTATTACAATAGGTTTATAATAAAAGTAAAATTTTTACAGCAATATATTTTGTCCTAGTTCATCTAGAAATTTAATAGATAACCCCCCAATAAATTTATCCTACCTCCTTTAAAGGCGTTTACCCCCCTCAAGAAAAATTAAATGCAAACTGTTTCTACCCCCCCCACCTCCTCGCGCTCATGTAGACGCTATCCATATCTTTAAATATTATTTAAAAAATATTATTTTCTATAAAGATCGTTATGAGAACAGGACGATTTTCGATTCACTGGACATTGGTTGGCAACTTTTGCGAATATTTCCTCGTGAGATGTTAAAGAGAATCCCCGAAAATGTCCTGGACGAATTCTACCCTCGAGATCGTAATGCGGCTGGCACTAACAATGATAACAATGGAAGTAAAGTAAATGCCAGTACTCAAAACGGAACTAAAAGACAAGATAAAGATTAGCAGAGATTATAAAAATAATCTTTAATTAAAAAAATATAAGATATTTAAAGGGGCATATCTATTCATTTTATTTTTATAGATGGTTAGTTTTTTATTTATTCAGCTATAAAACGATGCTTGCTCTTAGTCTGTTCATTTGTCAACTTTTATCTTCGATTAAACTTATATACTTAAATAAGAAAATGAAATCTAAGAAATATATATAAATTTTGTATATAATTATTTTAAAAGTTAGTTTCAATTTTTTAATGATAATATTGGGTCAATTTAAAATACTTTAGAAAATTATCAATTTATTTTACATATACATTCCGCTAATTATAATATTTTATAATTTTTAGACTAATTTAACATAAATAACATGATATCTATAACCCTGATATATAAAGCTTATAATTATGGCATAAAAGATTCTAGAATTTGAATCACATATACCACTATTTTTATTTTTTGTTATAGAAGCGCAATAAATATATATTATTTTGTTATAATATATATTTTAAATATCTTATGAATGGTGACTTTAATACTGAATTTTTTTTCCAATATATATATATATATATATTGGATTATCAATCCTATAAAACATTTAGTGTGCTATATTAATAGTATCATATAAGTTAAACAGTTTAGCTGATAATTTTAGTTATTTTTTAAGAATAGTTATTTGACATTATTTTTTATTTTTGAAATATCTTTATATGTGATCTATTCACTATTTTGAGTGATTTATTCAAGCTTATTAATCGATTATTTTATTCAAAAATATGGATTGATTTTTTTTTAAAAAAAAGATTGCATCACGATCCTTTTATGGATAATTTAACTATTTTTTCAATACGACATAATTTTTATATTCTGGATTACTTATTTTTTTAAAATCCTGAAGAAATTTTATGCCCGATGCAAGATAAACCAATAAAAAAATAAATGATATATAGTGTTATTTATTGTAAATAATATTATATAACAAATATACTTATAATTTTATAACTATATGACAACTGTACTGTGGCGTAACCGAATTTATCCAAGGTGGTGAGGCATATTTCAATATTAATACTAACTCGTTTGGCACTAAAATGCATTATTGGAAAAATAATAAATAGCAGATTGGCATTATGCTCGGAAATTATTGAAGCTCTGAATATATGAGCGCAACAATATGTAACTCCTGTTTAGTGCTTAGTAATTCATCTAGCTTCATTAATTAAACAGAAACCAGTTATAAGCGAAATAAAAACTATATTGGCAAATCTTAGCCTGAGTCTTAAATATCTAATTTTGAATTGCGATTCAAAAATCAAATACCTCTAGATACATCAAGGTTTTATTTTCCCCGGTTCAAAATATTTTTACGATCTTTATCGATATTATTTGTTCTTTTCGATTTATTTAATAGATATAGAAATAAAATTTTTAAATTCTTATTATATTTGGATTTTGTTTTATTTTAAAAAATTAGACACGAATCTAACTTCATATTAAGGCGCAGTCTTAAGCATTAAACATTTGAAGGTGAAATTTGTATTATTATTAAATATATATCATAAGGAGGTAAAGAAAGAATTTATTTCTTAAACATCATTTTTAAATATAAAAAGAAATTATGTTGAAAATTTAATTTATTGTGATGAAAAATGACAAATTTTTTTAAAAAAATTTTGATCTTTGGGAAAAACTAACTTAATAAACGTAAACCATAATGTCAAATAAAAAATATTATATAGAATATTTATATATTACCAGAATGTTGATCAATTTATGCCTGGAATGGATCTAATTTCGAAGTAGATTTTCGGGCACAATATCCAGGTGTAGATAAAGAAGAGAAACATTTCTTTCGAATTTTTATTCAATCTTGTGCTTGCATCAGATTAAACATATAAATAAATGATGAGAAAGTTCGACTCAAAAGTCGCTAAAGTATAAAACAATATTCTGGTCTTGATAAAAGGTATAATAAAATGCATTAGGTCAATATCGCAAAAGAGAAAATATTATAACGATTGCACGCACATTCATGATATTAATACCGCAATGCAATAGGGAATTATATTTGACAAGTATTATAATTCTTTTGTTACTTTATTTGTATTTTGCCTACTTATAAGTCATTAATTATAGGAAACTAAATTTTTGTTACGTTTTGAAGCCGGACCCATAATTTTTTCTAGAAAGAAATTCTTTTAACTCTACTGCTATATTTTAACTCATTTAGCAAGTTAAAATCTTTCAAAAAACTAGAAACCTGCCTAATTGACGCTTATATTTTTATACTAAAATACTTTACTTGCTATTTATGAAATTATATTAAATATAATATCCTCAATCTTTTTTAATACTTAATTGAGTAGCTTTTAAGAAAATTAAAATAATTAATATTTAACAAAAAAATAGCTTAAAACCCTCATTTATTTTTATTTATTCAAAAATGGCTAGATGTGTTCCCATTATGTAGGTCTTAACCGGATGCTCGCCTTTTTTAAATTTGATTTTATAGAATTATCAAAATAATAAATATAAATAATGATGGCGTAATTGTACCAGAAGATAGAGTTGAAACATACCTGAGGTGACTGGCATTGTTAGACATCTTGGGAAATGGAGAGGGAAATGGGAAGTTAGAATAACTTATCTGGAAAGAAAGAATAAAGGAATGTTAAATTTTTTTATATTCCCTTTTTTTCTTTACGATATTTAATAATATTAGTAATTGTTTTGAAATATTAATTTGAAAACTAATAATATCAATATTTATTTTAATTTTACGTGATTAATTCGAAATAACTTTATTCCAATTTTTAATATAAGCTATTTTAGTATATTTGATTAGTATATGTATTAGAATTGAACTCAGCCAATCGACCATTTTAATAGGCTCCACTTAGGCATACCTACTATAGGGAAAGAGTATATCGCAAGATCGTCTTGAAATAAAATAGGGATGGAACGGGTAGGAGGAATTAGGTAAGAGCAGGGGTGATATTGTTTTGCAAATAATGATTTGGATGTTTTTTCTTCTTTTTTGGGGGGTTGGAGTGCTATAAATTACTTAAGGGGATTAATATCGCTAGCTTAGGAATAGTGTTGTTAAAAAGCCAATTCGGTTTGATTTTAAAAAACGGCCCGATTAAGATTATAACCAAAATAACATTATATAAGCCTAAAAATTTTACACATAGCTGGTAGAAATGCTTGGACGTTTATTTGCCAAATCTTGATGCTTACACAATATTTTAGCTAAAATCTTAATCGGGGAGCCAAATCGATTTTTTAATAACACTACATAGGGGGTATAGAAGTACCTAAATCCACCTCTTAATTATTTTAAAAAAAATTCTTTGGATAAAGAAATATCGAATTAATATTTTTTGGGCTTAGGGCCGGTTAATATTTATTTATGTTGTGATCTGCTCGGCCCTTGCAGGACTCTTATATAGCAAATAATTCAATGATAAATATGTCAAATATAAAACATCAAATTATATTTTGAGTCATTTGTAAATTATTGATACATATTTATAGCATTTTTAATAATATAAATGTAAAAATTGTTTAAAAAGCAAGTCAGTTAAGGAAAATAATTTTATCAAAAAACATTAAAAATGATAAAATAGCTATTATCTATTCTCATCGATTAATCATGTAAATTTTAATAGTGTGAAAAATAAATATATATTCATATATAAATGTTTAATAATTTACTATAATGAGATGGGGGTAGGATAAAACATTTAAAGGATTAGCTTAATTTAAAAGATAAAAATTATAAGAAAAAAAGCATAATACTTAATAAAAAACTTTGGTAAATTTATGAGGCTATAAAAATTATAAATAAATTTTGATGACACAATAATATTAAAATAATTGCTCAAAGTTGAATATAACTAGATTTAATTTAGAAATAAAAAAAAAGATTGATATTGAAGCGTTCATATATTCACCATAATTTAGCGGCCTTTTTCATTAAATTCCTTCTCCATTCTGGCAACTTGTAAAATTCTATGGGAGTGCATCCAAATAGATACTTAAATTCATCTAAGGCTAAATGTCTCTATAATCATAAAACATTTTTTTTAAAATCATATAGGAATATACCCCAAAATGTTATATCCTATAAATAAAATAACCAAGCATTAATAGTAGATAATAGAGGCAAGAAAACAAATGTTCCAATCGTTAAAACTGGTTGTGAATAAACAAAAATGGCTGACCTCACGGAAAAAGGCAAGAATTATATATGTATTGTTGAAGTTTGTGAAAATGGGATGAGAATTGTTATTTAATAATATGCAGAATAATAAGGAATCTAGTGTAAAGGGTATATTGGTTTTTATTATTAAATTAATATTTAAATAATAAATTGAATGAAATATAAATTCCCTTCTAACAAAAAAAATCCATAGCGTTCAATGCTATGCATCAATATCCTATTACAATATAAAATATTAATGATATAAGATAAAATACGAATTATAATATAAGATAGAGGATTCCAATAGGTATAAAATGAATGTAATTATTGAAGGTAAGACAACTTTTAATAGATACGATATTAAACCAAATATAGAATAAATAATAAATATAAGTGGATATGTTTTAATATGGTAAAATTTTAAGAGATCACAACCAGCTTAGGTACAGATGAAAGTCAATTAAAAATAGGCAAAAAATAAAGATACAACTAGATTAAAATTCTTATCATACCATTAGACAATAATGTCCATTTTTTTATTGGATGTCACAGCTAATATACTAACCTGACTATAGGCTTAAAAATTTTACAAACTAAATTAGCTAGTATACAAGCTAACTAGAGGTATAGTTAATCTATAGTGGCTATTCAAACCTAGCTAACAAATTAGCGAATTTTTTTTACGTTTTCGGTTATTGTTTCGATAATCTATTTTTTTTTAAAAAATATATATATCTCATTTCCATCTACTTTTGGATTATTTTCGCCGATTTTTGGGGAAGAAATCAAAAGTAATGCAAATAAGAGAAAAATTAAGTTTAAAAATAAATAAAAAAATGGGTAAAAATAAAAAAGAAAGCAAAAATGGAAAAAAATTAGAGTAATTTTTTTTAAAATAATAAAATACTTAAAAGGGGCAAAATATATACAAAACAAGAGTATATTAAAAAAAGGAGTAATCAAAAAACAAATATTAGATACCTAGTATATTGTAATGTATTAATATTAAATAAATTGTATTAAACATAGTAACATTTAAATTTGTATTTTATTTTAAAGATTGAGTTAGAACGAATTAATGAAATGCCTTATCATTAAAAATAAATACATATAATTTAAAAAACCGTTGTTAAGTATCTATAACTATTCTAAAAATATAAATCAAATGTTTTTATTAAATCAAATTTATCCAAATTAAAAACTTCGTCAGCTATATTTCAACAAACTATGGATAACATTTTGGGGACATGAAAGATGACCTAAACCTAACCTGGACAGTTTGTTATTTTGGTTTATGGCCATACTTTATTATATAAACGATTTTGTAAAAGTTATATATAGATACATTTTCTCATTTTTAGAGGTTAAAATTATACTATGCCTAACAGACTCGAAGAAGATATTTCTGAAGAAAAACGGAGAAGCATCAACATCTAGTCAATTCCATATTGCAGAATTCGTCAAAGAAAAAGTGACTATTCAAGATTATGTATATAATTTATAACTCATCTTTAAAGTAAAAAATATTATCGATCAAGATATAAAAAAAAGATTTGTTATTAACATACATAGATACGGATAATTTAATTAAAATAAAAAATTTCCACTACCCAAATAATTTAGAGAACATTAATTATATAACTTTACTTGATAGTTTGGAGAAAATATTTAAGGATATCTCTAGTATTTTCCTATATCGAAATAATTTTTATATTTTAAAAAGAGGAGATAAAACTATAATAGATTTTTAGATCAAATTGAAAAGTATTTGCTCATTATGTAATTTTAAATCGCAGGTTGATTAACTTATAAGAGCTATTTTTATCTTAGGAGTAGGGCTGCTGAGTTGGATAAAGAATTTTGGTCAAAACATATCGAAGGCAATATCACTTTTGAAGATATTGCGCGTTTAACGATCGCGCTGTCTTCATTGGAGAAGGAAACCCAGGCTGAAGTTAACAAAATAATTAAACATAAGCCGACGCAAGGTTCCAAAAATACTTATTTTAGGAATAATAATTATAATAACGTTAATAAATTCAATAATAATAATAATGCTAACAAATTCAACCATAATAATTTTATTCTTAATAATTATAAATCAAGTTTTAAACCTAATTTCATACAAAAATAAGTCATGCTTTCGACAGAAAGGCAAACCACATAGCGAAAGAGTGTAGAACGCATTCCATATAAATGATTCTACCACGGAGTCATTTCCTAATAAAGCTACCATCGATGCGAAGATAAATGGGTTGCAGTTTACTATGAAATTTAATGCCGGTACTGCTTGTAGTATGATAGATGAGGTTACCTGGAAGTTCGGATTAATAATATAAATTCCTCCACTTTAAATAGTATTTCTTCGAAATTTCCGCAAGTTTTAAAAAAAATAAGAGTTCCATTTTCGTTGCGTCGAACTGTTGAAGCTTAGTTGGACAGACGTTTAGACGAAGGTGTTATCGAGAAGGTGGATCCAACAACAGCTCCAATCACTTGGGCTACGCCAACGGTTAATACCTTAAAGAAATCCGGTGCCGTGTGAATATGCGGAGATTTTCGTTTAACAACCAACAAATATTTAGTGATAGATAATGATTTACTACTAACTTTCGTTGACTTGACAAATAGGATCGCAGTGGTAAAATATTTTCAACGATAGGTTTAAGAGATGCATTTTTACAATTTGGAGTTAGTTCAGAATGTAGGGACCTTTTTAATTTCAATTCATGTCGGTTATTACCTATACCAAAGAATCCCATGGTTAGTGTATTTTAGACGACGTAATTATTGCAGGCGAGAATAATTTTGATCATATAGTTAATCTAGATGAAGTATTAAGAAGATTTGATAAGGCTGGATAAAATTAAAATTGAAGAAAAATCAGTTACTTATTTACGTCATGTTATTGACGAATTCGGAATTCACTCTACAGAAGATAAGATTAATGCCATAAAAAATTGTAAAACACCTTCAAATGTTAAAGAATTGCGTTCATTTCTTGGAATGGTGAATTACCATGAGTCGTTTATAAAAAATTTACATTCTATTTGTGCGCCTTTACACCGACTAACGAGTAAATAGTTGGTTTTGGTCCTCAATAAAATGAAATAATTAAAAGTTAAAATAAAATTATCAAAAGAAGATACAATAATTCCTTATTCAGCCAATATTTCTGTCGTGATTTCTTGTGACGCTTCCGAAGATGATCTAGGAGCTGTTATTGCACACCGATTTCTTATTGGTCAGGAGCAACCGATTGCCTACGCATAGAAGACACTTTCGGCGGCTGAAAAGAATTATGCCACCATTGATCGGGAGGCTTCGGCGATCATGTTCGATATCGAGAAGTTTCATCAATATATTTATGGAAGACATTTTATTTTGGTTACGGATCACAAAACTTAATAATATATCTTTGGTGATAAAAAAGACCTAAATAAAATAACAAATAACCGTTTAATACGGTAGGCGATGAAGCTATTAGATTACGACTATAAGATAATTCATAGACCTATCAAAACAAATGTGCCTACGCTCTATCCCGTTTGGGGGTAGAGAGAGCAAAAACCAATGAAGTTACAAAAATATTTGCAGAGGAAATCAGAGAATTAAAAATTAATTTAATAGAAGACATATTTTTTTACTCGCAGTAAAGTCGTAAGTGAAACGAGCAATGATATCAATCTGAAACTGAAAGAGATTATTCAATTAATTAAAAATCATCGGTATATTGATAATATAAATAATTATTCGGAGATTTAAAAAAAAAATTATTTTAATTAAAGATAATATTTCGTTCGAAGAAGGATTTTTATTTTACAATAATAGAATTATTATTCCCGATAATCTAAAGGAGGTTTTGAATGTTATTCATCTAGGCCACCCTGGGTTAAAGGGGATGAAATCATTATGTAGTTACTATATTTTTTGGACGAATCTTGATCGTGATGTTGAAGAGTTCGATAAAAGCTACAAGAGTTGTCAGGAAGGAAGACCTGGAACCAGAGAAGTACCGTTATACAATTTGAACATTCCTATCCGACCTAGGGAACGAATACACATTGATTTGACAGGCCCCGTATTTGGAAAGTATTGGGTAATTTGCGTAGACGCTTTCACCAAATGGGTTAAAGTTGCAATTTTAACACATATTAATTCAGCGAGTGTAATAAATAATCTGCATAATTATTTAGCTAGATTTGGGTTACCTCGCTACATTGTCTCAGATACGGTACTCTTACTGGATCTGAATTCAAAACGTTTCTTTTTAAAAACAACATAAAATATTTTAGATCGGCTTCTTATAGCCCTAAATCGAATGGTTTGGCTGAGCGTTATATACGTACGATAAAGACGCATTTCGATGCTGGAATGAGATGTGGGACTCCGATGTTTTAATTACTCGCTGAAATACTCAAAATGCAACTACCGGTAAATCTCCTGTCGAAATGATGTTTGGAAGGCCGCTCAGGATGCCGTTAGATCAATGAAAATTATCTACGAGGGAAAGGACTAAACGCATTATGGAAACAAAAATATTATAAAGATAGGAACGTTGGGCCCCGTAAATTTGAAGAGAAGCAAAAGATTGGGTAGAAAACGAAAGAACTGCGGAATGGCATGAAAGGACAGTGATTTAACGGAAAAGTGAGATATTGTTTGATGTTGTGCCTACCATCTGAGGGATGCTCATGTACAAACTAAGAAAATACCCATAACAATAACTGAGAATTTGGACAATTAATAGAAATACAACTCTTAAAAAATGAGTTTCAAAACCCCTATTACGTTATCATGATGAATTCAATTTGTAGTAGGAAGAACTATAATGTATTAATATAAAATAAATTGTATTTTGTTATTTCGGTTTAAGGCTACACTTTATTGTAATAGATTAAATATATAAATGATTTTGTAAAAGTTCTATATAGATACATTTTCTCATTTTTAAACACATTAGATTATATTAATAAACACCACATATATATCAGTTGTTCATAAACTAATAGGTAGTATGTATAAAAAGTTGAAGCATATAGCTTTGTATACTAGCTAAGTTTGAATATTAGATGTAACAGAGGAGAAAAGCGATGTTTTTACTTCAAGAAAGGTGCGATCCACATCTTTAGGTAACTTTCTATTAGTAGTTTTGAGCAAATGATAAGGGTACACCTTAATTTATAATAAAACAAATAAACAACGATAAAAAGTTAAAAGAATATAAAATATCCGATAATAATCTGTATCTACATAGACAGTTTAAAATATTTTAAGGTCATGATTACTTTGACAGATTCACTCATATTCGGCATTGAACGTCTGTGATGAGCCGTATGTGGAAACATCCTGTACATCTCATTAATCATGGGTCCACGGTAAATATATTTTTGGTCCTTTTTAAAAACATCATGTTTAGAAAATAAATTGAAAACATATTTTTTATCAAAAGAAAATCATTTAAAAAAATTATGTTTTTGAATTGCTTACAGGCCCTTCAATATCATTTTGCAATTCCTGCTGAGATATATTGGCTAATTCGGCGCTTTTAGCTCTATGATTTTCGTTCATGTAATACTGAATTTCCTATTTAAATTTTTTAATTAATATTTTGAAATCAGTAAAATAATATATAGTGAAATTTCCATAAAGTGACCATGAAGGTGGCACATTGATCGCGAATGTATAAGGTGGTCATTGGGTGTTTTTAATTAATTGGACATCATATAAATTATTAAAAATTTCAGATAAAAAAATTGATTTATACTTCTGCGGTCAATTCTTCAGCGCTGATACCAGGGAGCGTCGAGGATTTTGATAATACTTCGATATTCTTACAATAATCCTTATCGGGATAATCTAACATTTATGTAAAGTAATAATATTTTATTCATTATATGAATATAAAAAGATCGAAAAATTTTAATAAACAATTTAGTTTATGTATGAAAAAATAATTTCTCAAGATTATTTCCGTTGTTTGAGAGTATAGTAGAGGGTTCTATCAATATAAGATAGGGTTAGTATTTTTTTAAAATATTATCTTAAAATGTAAGTTAAGCAGTGCAGAATTGGTTGAATAAAAGAAGAATGGATGATTATGGAGTTAAATGGATAAATCTATAGAGATCCATCTAAATAAAAATAATATAGTCTTCATAATAAGGACATATATAAAATGGGTCATTCCTAGCACAACTAAAATATGTCCATTCAAGAAAATTATTTTATTATTATAAAAACATAAAGCTAGCATCATGACTTATTGTCCATTTTTTCTTCTTTTGATTCATTTTACATTTTTATAATTTATTTTTATAGGGCAAAGCTGAGCAGAGTTGAAACCTTATACAAAGAATTAGGGATACAGATTCATCTTCAAAGAGACCGATCAACCCAGATAATTCTTTTTCTTATGATAAAGGGTTGCTAAGGCAATTATTCACTTAATAACTTAGTTTTATCTGTTTCATCGAATTATTCACATAACATTATCTTCTTATTTTCTCTAAGTTCTTCATGCTTATTTTTTTTCTCCTTTTAACTTTTTAATGATGTATATTTTTTCTATTAAATTATATTTTATATTGTATTTATATTTATATAAAACATTTTATTAATTAAAAAATTATTTATTCATCATTCAATATAATATAATACAATTAATTTAAATATAGAATCATAAATACATATTGAAATCAGCGACACTCAATTATTATAACAATAAACCACCTTTTTGTACTATTTTAGGATCAGTCCGTATTTTTACTTGACCAACGTTATCTCCAAATTTCCGGCTGACCAAATTGATAAAACTTTTGTTGGGCCTCAAAAGCAATTTTTATTTTTATAGTATCAACCCACAAAGTTTCCTAGGCGATATTTATGCTAAACGTATGGGAATTAGGGGTCCAAAACTTGGCTCAATCAGCTCCCGTAAGTAGAAAATTTTTTTAAAAATTATTAAGGACCGACCATTACACAAAATGGGGTTGGAATTTATACATAAAAAATAAGGCAAGGCTCTGCAAATCACTCATTTTTAGTAAAATTATTATAATCCAACCAGGGCATTAAAATTTTCATATTTTTTGGAATTTCAAGCTAATATTTTGATCAATACTATTTAAAAATATATTATAATATGCTTATTTTTGGTAATTTAAAAGCTGTCTAATTAAAATACTAAATCTATAAATAATATAGTAAATTCAAAAAAATAAATACACAATACAGATATCAAAACACAATTGATTTATAAAAAAATTGCTGTAGAAGGAAATAGAAAGCTATAGAGAAGAGATAAAAGCGGGGAAAAAAATAAGATATAAATATTAATAATGTGGGCTGGAAAATTTCGTACAAAAATTTAAGCAGCCGGGGCAAACTTTTAGTAAAAATTTAACGCGCTAAGACCTAATTTCGTAAAATTTTTACGGGCTGGGAAAAAATTTAATTGGCTAAGCCGAGCAACTAGTGCAAAAATTCTTAACGAGTAAAACGGGAGGAGCTTTGCAGATCTCTGGAGACAGAAGTTATATGGCAACTATAATAAATAGAATGAATGTGACAAATTTGGTCAAAAGATATATTTTTATGAATATTTTCTACCATCTGATAATTTAGAAGAAAAATATTGACAATAATAAGGTTTTTCCATTTTTTCAAGAATAAAATTACATGAGATTTTTCAGTATCTAACCCACAAAATAAACTTGGTTCAAGAGCTTATCTAGACGAATCGCTAGAGCTATTTAAATTAATTCAATTATAAAAAACATAGTTAAATTTTACAGAACGAAAAACAGGACTGGTGGAATTTAGGATTGGCACTCCCAAAAAGTAATAAAATTATATTTTCCGAAAAAAATTGTAAAATTTACATATATCATTAAAGGAATCTTAATATTCATATTCACTCACCATTTGTCAAATATAAATAAATTTATAAAAAAAATTGCCATATTGCATTTGCTTTAAATATTGTGTAATGAAATTGGAGAAAATATTGAGTTACTTTTTCTAATATGCTTAAACTTTATCAATGTAAGATCCTAACATTTGCTTAACAAAAATTTAATTTGGTACCAAAATGTTCATATTGAGCCCTTATGATGCTTATCATATATTCCACTAATGAAAGTTGATTATCATTGCCTCATTAGATTCAAGCTTTTTTATAATCTGATTCAAACAGCCACATTGAATTATGATCATGTCCAGATATGATACTGCTAATTTATCTTCAAAAAATGTTTTTAAAATGATTGATGAATATGATAACAATTTAAAAAATTAATTTTTGAAGGCTCGAAATTTAAGAGAAAAAATGATCAATTTCGTAGGTACGCTCTTTATAACATATCTGTCTATTTAATGTAATACATATCTGTAATTTATAAGCTTATTTACTTTATTTGTTAATCTTTTGAATTTTTTTCAAATAAAAACTGGCAAAACTGATTCATTAATTTGATAAAAATTTCGTAATTGCGCTTGATTGTTACTAAGACTAAAAAAGGCATTATCTGCACAGTATTCATTAGTATAAGTTTAGCCTTTACAATATGTTTTAAAGATTAATCAGAATTGACTTTTCACAAATAAAATAGCCCAAAACTTAATAGCAGAAATTTGATAAAATAAGAATATTTGCAGCCAATTTTTTATATATATACTTGAAAACATTTGAATTTTGACAATTTAAAATAGAGGATTTTAATTATTTTACTGGACAATTAGTCATGTTTTTTTCGCGGGACAAAAATTATTTAGCGGGACGGCCCAATATAAAGTGAGACGTATAGCAGATCCTATTTTAGCCCGCTTTTACTTTGCTTTTTTACAATTATAGGATACTTGTACCTAATATCTTAAAAATTTCGGCTTTTGAATGTCTTTGTTTAAAGTGTATCCAATTTATCTGAGTGGATTTTTTTACACAAACATTGGCTTATCTGCCATGAATCTTCGTCGTTTAGTGGCCCTTTTCCAAATTTAGCCGGGTAGGCCATTTCCATTCTATTGCCTCCCATTTTACCTGGTTCGGGGCATCGCCCCGTTTCAAGCCTAACTTTTTCCCAAACCATCTCAGTGATACTCGACATATCCATCTAAATCATACTCATCTCCGTTCTTTCAAATTTGGCTTCATAAGTCGCCTGAATTGCCCATGTCTCGCTGCCATACATCATATAACTTCTCAGTTTACATAAACTTTTCCCTTCAAAGCTAGAGACATGTTCAGTTAAAATTGAAGGCATTTCTCTAAATTTCTTCCAATCACATCTTATCCTCGCCACCATCAACGGCGAGATTATTAAATATCGCGAATTTATTACCTTTAGTTTTATTACGAATATTACACAAGTGAAACCTATTTTATTTAGCTCATTAATTTATATCATAAACAATTCTTAAGAAAATTTTAGCAAAAAAGAATATATTAATAATTTTTTATCACTCATTTGACAAGGCGAATTTCGATAACTGTGATATTTACATAAATATGTATCATCGGGTCTTTTGAATTTTGATGGATAGGTTACGTATCTAGATGGCGCTATATTAAATAAATATAATTTAAAAATGAAAAAGAATTAAATATAGCGAATTTAATCTATAACTTGTTTTTTTATGATTATCGTTGGATAGTCAAAAATTGGATCTTATTTTAATTTTTTTATCTGTTAAATTTAATATCGTAATATATCGCTATTCCTAATCAGAAAACAATTTAATTACTCTTTATCCCACAGCGTTAGAGCATTGTACATGAAAATTAAAGCATTAGATAATCACAGTTATACATAATGTGTACTATTTTTTTAAATATATTTATTTTTATTTATTTGGACATATATTTTTTAAATTTATACCATAATTATTAAGTTTTTCTAAAAGTGACAAATTATTTTTCTTTTTTTAACACATAATATTTAGAAACTAGTGTGGTTAAAAGCCTTACTTTTATTTGCAGCTTTATAGATAGTGCGTTACTTTTTTTGAAAAGTAGCCTTACTACCGCTGCTTTTAAATAAAATAATTATTTTTGTATAATTAAATTTGAAGTGTAATATTGAAATTTAATTTACAATTTTAAATTTAAATATATATTTCGATTGATATTATTTTCCTACTTTGAGCATATTAACAACAAAATTATAAAGATTAGGTGAAATAATATATTGAAAGCCGCTAGTGGGTTCTATAATCAAATGATAATATTGTATTTGCTGCCATTATCCATTCAAATTTTTGGCTAAATATTAATCTAATTAAGTACAGATCAGCTAAACAGATATATTGAAATATTAAATAATCTGAATCCCGAGAATAGATTGGTTGTAACTATAAAGAAAATTTTTATAAATGCTTTCTTAAAAAAGAATACTTTTAATAAGATAAATTCTACTAGATGCTTTTTTGCATTAAAAATAATTCCATGAACATATTCAATGGCTTTCCTATTTTATTTTATAAATATATTTATCAAATCAAACAACAGGTTCAGACTAAATCTATAGAAATGATTTTGTCATTAAATTGTAATATTAATAAATAAAACTATATTTTTTTCTTATTTTATAGAAGTCACTCATAATAAAGTAATATATTCTATTTTATGAAAATGAGTGATAGCTTGCTACTTTTGAAAATGCATTTAACAACTAAATGCAAGATTTCAAAATATACATTTGTTTCTAATGTTATTAAATATGTATGCTATTTAGAGCCATGCAAAATAAATTATATTTGGTCTGATCCCAAGATTTAGGATTTCGGCTCAAAATATTTATCAATTTTAGAACTCGAGTTCGACCTGAAATTTTTATTCATTTTCAGACCCCGAGCCCAAGGCGAATTATCATTTTTATTTTAAATCCGAGCTTGGGCCCGACATTTTTAACTGAAAAATAAAAAATCTCCAAATGCTTTGTCCTTATCCCAAAATTTTTTAATTATCATTTAATTTAATACAAGAAGTGAACATCATTTTCTATTCTATTTTTTAAGGGCAGAGTGTGAACGCTATTCGTACCACTATGAGTTAAAATTTTGATAAAATATGTAATTTTATTTAAAAATGTCTATAATTTCCATCGAGTATGAACTAAATTTAGAAAAGTTCAACAGAACAAGACTAATGTAGATTTAGAAGACAATGAAGCCTAACTTATTCTAGAATCTGATGCATATATGTGGCTTTGAGCTATAGTCCAATGAGATAACCTGAATATATTGGCCTCAATATGACGAAAATAAATATCCCTATAATATTTTCACGGAATTTATAAATATATTAGTCCATACTAATAGAGTAGTAGAAGAACGTAACGACAGGTTAATTATTGTTACCTCCAGGAGAAGGTAACGAATGGCGTTTTTTTTTCCAAAAGAGGTAAAGCCGTTAGTAACAACGTTACTTTTTTTGACGTTATTTTACAGCACTAGATTTTAACATGTTATTATGACCAAATAAGTTTATCGACTATATATCAAAAACAATTTTCATTGTCCCATTCATTAATACCACGTCCTAATTCAACCAAATTATTTAATTTTTCCAAATCAATTCGTTTATTCAAGCCTGCTAAACTATTTTGGCATTTATGTAAAACAATTTATTTTCAATCATTTTTATCGCTCTTAATTAAATTTAAAAAAACATGATTCCAAAATTTAGTTAACTTAGCACCCAAAAATAATAAAAATTATTACAATTTATAACAACTGCAATATTATATTTAGAGCCTATTATACTCCATGAATTGTTACCTTTATTTTATGATTTATAGTTTGGACCACAAATAATAGCTCTTCACATCAATAATAAATGTAAATGTATTTATCTTAAAGAATCAAAAATATAATTAGACTCATATGATTCCAAAAATTAGTTAACAAAAATTTATTTCAAATTATAATTCAGAAATTTAGAGAGTAAATTGGTAATAAACTTAGTTAAGCTAGGATGTGGATAACAAAATAAAGGTCGTTAATGGGTTCAAACATGACCACTTTTCGATGGTTATATAATGTTTTCATCAAATGTTTAATTAGTTAGTTTTTAAAGAATTTACATGCCCAAATGGGGGAGCCGTATCTAGTAGGGATACGTGGCTCTTTTCTAGCCGAAGGAGTACGTGATGCATTTCTTGGATCTATCAATTTAGGTAACATAGAAGGAATCCTCCTTTCTTTCTCTTCTAAATCCTTTAAAAATACCTTTGAATTATAAAAAAATATAACCTTTTTAAAAAAATGTATATATTGAATTTTATTCTCAATTTAATTAATATTGTTTTATTAAATTATAATGATTAAAATTTTTGGAAAAATTGATTAAGGATTTTATTGTAACTTCAATAAAAAAAGACCATCTTTAATTTATCACGACACATAAATTTTGATATTTAAAAAACACATGATTGACTTATTTTTTAAAAATAAACTTTCAGGAAATTATAATGCAAACCTTTATTTATATAAAAAAATTAAAAACATTTATTTTCCTTCAGCCATATCGGAATTATCATGAAATTAAAAGGTACGGGTGTGTTTCAATATAAACAAGTATGAGATACTTTTATCCCGGGAAAGTATTTTCTTATCAAATACTTTTTAACTTAATATTTGAAATTTAAACCATAAATGGATTTCAATAAGATGCTTCTAAAAATATTTGCAGAAATAAGTTATGAAAAGTTTTAAATGTAAATTTTAACACGTCAAAAGTAGCTTTTTAATTTTTTACTAATAATTTTTTTTATAAGTTACAGGATGAAATATCAATCTTAATAATAAAGTAATCTTAATTTTATCATGTATAAAAAGATTACAATATTTTGTAATATTACAATCTTGAAATTAATTGTACTTAAATGTGAAGACCTGGGACAGTTTTGAGGGGTGTATATTAGCGATTTTTTTATTTTTAATTTAAAAAAATGCAACTTTATAGGAACACCAGAAGCCACAAGTTTGTCTAGGGTCACGTATGACAATATGAAGATGGTTTACTTGTTTTATAAATTATATGGCAGGTTTAAGTGAGAGTTCTTCCGGACGATATATATGAATATATCTTCATTTATTAAGATTAACATTTTTATAATTAAAAAAATCTAAAAATAAACAAGAGCGATAACAGGCAGCGTGAAAAGCTAATAGGTACCCAAAACGTTTTTCATTTTTCTTTACATTAATAAAAAAAACTAAAAGACTTTTTTTAATGAAACTAAGTTTAAATATTTGGGAAAATTTGCTTTATCTATTTTTTCTAGAATCAATTTTTTATGGACAACATAAAACTGGTCTCTCCTAATCATATTAATTTATAAACTTTTATTATTTCTAAAATTTAGTTGTCACCGTTTGCTTGGATGATTCGAATTATCATAACTGGAAAAGAGTTAATTACAAGTCTCTGATGCTATTTCATACTACATATGTTGGATATTTATGTGGAAATCTGCTTTTGTATAAGGATGCTTTCGTAGAGCTCTAATTCCAAATATATTCCATATTTGATTAAAGTCGGACTTGATGAAGATTCATTTTTTTAAATAAATTTTCATAAAGAGGGATCCTATCCTTGTATTCCTCTGCAAAAAATAGCATATTTGCTGATTGATAGTAGTTCTAGTTATAACAATGCCCAAAGGTGTTACAGGATTTTTTTTATGGAAAGGAAAACTACTGTGGCCGGGTTCGGGTTTTCCCAACATAAATTTTATTGGAGGTCTTTAGGTCTACTTATTTAGGTTTTTAAAGTTGTGATCGCGTTTTTAGACAAAGATCTAAAATGCTCTGTTAGATGTAAAATCCTTCCTAGAATTAAAGTAAGATCCATTAGAAAATTACAATTGCTCCCTAGTTAATCAACGTTTTATTATCCTATATCAAATTCTTATTTATCGTATAATTTAAGTCTCGATATGGAATAAGAGTCGCAAGAATTATGCATGGTAAAAATTACATATTGAATTTCATCCCCCCTTCCTTTTTTTATAAATATAATTTTTCCCAATAATTCTGCTAAAATTTTAATTTAATCATTTAATAACAGTTTTGTCTTTTTTCTTAGCTTAACATTTTCGAAACCTCTTATTCATTAACCTCCTCTTCCAAAATGGTAACGCTCCTCCTCTTGTTATTCCTTATTTCCTATCCTAACATCGTGATGTTACCCTATCTAAATGCTTCATTTCCATTAATATTTAAAAACAAACAACATTATTGACTTTAATCATTTCTCACCAAAATTATTTAAAATAAAAACAAAATTTAATTAACTTCCAAATGTTAAAGCTCAAATTTTATTTATATTAATTTCCTTTATCTCGATAAATAAAAACAAAATACAATAAATAATAATATTATGAAATTAGACCTTTGGCTATGTAATATTTTTATAAAATTAATTTTGGTTTTTTATATTTTTCCTAAAAAATTTTAAAGTATAAAAGCCTATTTAATATTATAGTTGTTATTCTATTAAATTAACTTTAACTTATTCTTCCAAGTTATTTTTTACGGTGATATATTTTATAAATGGGGGGGGGGGGGGGGGTATCAGCACAATATATACATAAGAGAACAGATTAATTTATGATGGGATAGGAAATTTCCAACCTATTTGTTACGCGCCTAACAATGCCATCATAAAGCATAACTCTGATACAACTAAATCTTTCTCAAACATGTAATTCCAAATAATTACACTTTTAAGAATTTTTCAGCCCGTTTTATTAAACTTAATTTTTCATTCTCAACATTGGATTATTAATAATTATTGTATATTATCTCTAAAATTAGATTTAATAGCTAGCTACTCATTGAATCCATTTTTCAGATGTTTAATGTAAATGTTTAATCCAATCAAGTTTTTTCTTTTTTTTTGAATGATATAGGATATTTTATTGACCTTATAAAAATGTTGAATATTAACAAAATAATAAATTAAAGTTTTTACTTACCTTATAAAATGGATAATCCAATTTATTGAGAGAACATTCTGGAGAACCAAACTTATTTAAGAAGCTTTTTTGAAACTATTATTTTAAATAGAATCCAATTTTTTTAAGAGTTTTTCTCTGAAACACTTATAGATAACGTACAACTATGCTATTTGATCTCTGAAATAATATCTTAAACTCTAGATCAATAAATTTTTAGGTCAGCACGATTTATGCTTGCAATTTCCCTTCTTTTTATGCATCAATAGCTAATTAATGAGCATCCATTTTTAAACATATTTTGCGAGTCGTTGGAGATGGGAATAGAGAACGATTAGGAAAATGTTAATTTTTTATATTATTTAAATAAACAATTGGAAATGTGTTTTTAAAACAATTAAGATAAATCTGTCAGAAACACCATCATTTCAATAGATTTAATATGGCCATTTTTTTTAATTAATAAAGCCTCAGTTTTCAACTTTGTCATAATTCTGAAATGGCTGGATGAAAATAAATATGTCAAGATTTTTTTACGTAAAAAGAATCTACATAAATGTAGAAGCGTCTTTATTTTTTTTATTTCTTCATGCATTTTTTTACTTGTAAAAATAATGTTGCATGAAAAAATAAAAGTGGTCGATTTATATTGAGGTAGAGTAATATTTATATAAAAATATAATTGATTTATTTTTATAAACATATAGAAATGATAACTGTAAATGTTTTTTAGATTAAAAACATCCAATTTAACAGATAAAAGTTAATATTTTTTTAAATGATAGGCTCCAGCTTTGATTTCCAGACCATCCTCTTGTTCATTCGGTGATTCAAATATTTAAATGGACGTGCAAATCAGACATGAAAAGCAAGATTTTGCCATAGTGCCTTTGAAATTTATGTTATATTTTAATTATAGATGAGCCACACTGATCTAAATTTGAATAGATGAGCGCTCTATTCCTTGATTGTCTAAGCTTTCTCCTGGTTTGTCCAAAATAAATGTAATCCAAATTCAATTTTTCCAATAATATAATATTATTATAAAATAAGATAATTTTTAACCTTTCCAAGACCAGATTCAAGTTTTTCTAAATATTTAGTTTCTTTTTTTATTTTAGCCTTTTCCACTTCAATAGCTTCCTTTTCTTCTATGAACATATCCTCGGGCCTAATCCATAAATATTTTCGTTCTGGAATATGATAATAATTAAGATACATACTTGTTTGAATTACATTTATTTAACGAAAGGATTTATAACTTATTTTGTGAAAAAATATTAAATTGCAAAGTTCATCATCAGTACGAAATAATGAAATTAGATTGTACAATAAACATGACATTATAGTTTACACAGCAGAATAAAAATAGCAATCAAGTTTCATAATGGTATAAAAGAAAGACAGTTTTATACTTACTTACAAAGATGGCCTGCATGCATTTCTCAAAAATAAATAAGAAATAATTAAAAGAAATCTGCAAAGGTTATGAAGTTCAATCCAATTCTAAATATTGAAATTTAATTTTTACAAAGATGATGGCATAATAAATATAAAAACCGGGTATAGCAGGACCGTATGGCGGTCCCGGCCAATCCTCCCTCTCAATTTTGGGATGTGATATTTCTTCAAGGTCGGGCTTTTTAGCGGCCGGGTAATGGGCTAATTCTATTGGTTCTTGTGGGTCTTGACCAGAGACGGAAGTAATAACTGGATGTGATGAATCTAATGGCAGGATATTCTTGTAAGAGGGATGTTGAGAACAGGAAGAAGGGGAAGATCGACGTGAGAAAGATACGGTGTCCTCCATATTCTCCACTTATGATTAATGAAGAAAAAAATAATATTATTTTATAATTTCCTTAGAAAATATGATATAAATTTATATTTTGTGTCAATACTATGAGTCGACTACAGCAAAAAGATTTTTCCACAAATGCATTTTCCCATGCATTCTCGCAAATGATTTACAGAGAAAACATTAATGGGCCTTAAATATATTATTAGGCGCCTAATTCTATATAGTTTCAGTGAAATTAAGAAAAAACATAATTATTAATCAATATTCTTGCCCAAATTTAGTACCAATGTTAGTAAGCAGTCTAAGCCTCAGTCCTTACCTAGATCTGATGAAACTAAGAAAAACATTTTTAAAAATTATTCTAACCTTAACTTAAATACGGCTTTAACTTGATTTAATAATCAGTAAAATTAAACAGACCTTAGAGTTGCCAGACATAAGTATCTCATTGATTATACAGACTGTTATCCACCAAGCCACTAGCTCGTTTCGCTGAAATTAAGCAAATATTTATTAATTGATATTAACCTAACCTAATATTGAATATAAACTAACCCTAGCAGGCAAAGCTTAAGGCCTTTGTGGTTGTTTGTGCGGTAATACACAATAATGATTTTGCTGTAACACATTCGTGGAAATAATTTTGCGAAATGTTCTTTGTAATATTTTCGCGGAAATGTTATTATGGTATACATTAGCTATAATATCTTTTGGCTAGGGATGTACCGATATTTCACCCATTTTAAACTATCGGTTATCGGCCAATATTATAAAATATGGCGTTTTTAACAAAAATAAAATGTTATCAAATTTTTAAAAATATTTGTATCTAAAATCATTTATTTTTATAATAAAACCGAAATCCATTTTTATGTTTATTTTTTTTAATAATAATTAATTAATAAACATTCTGCCATATTGTTAATTATTTTGCGCATTCTGTTTATAAAAGTGTGCGACAATCTCTTCAGAATCTGTTCTTAGGAAGCTGGTAATATTCAGTGTTGTTAAAATATCGCGCTACTTTTTTCAGTAGCGGTAGCTTAAGCGGGCTAATTTTTTTTAGAAAATAGAGATAGCTGTAGCTCGCTACTTTCAATTTTACATAATAAATACATTTAAAAATTATTAAAATATATTTTTTATTAAATCTAAAATTATAATCCTTTTATTTAATTTAATTTTGAAATTTAAGTTTATATTAAAAAATATACATTATAAATCTAGTTAGTTATAAATCTCGTTATTAAAAATGTGTGAGATTGTTGAAGATAGCAAAATTTCTTTGGAAAATGAGAAAAATATAGATTATCCTTTCCTAAAATTCAAATAATACTTGAATCTTGAAGAAAAAATTACTACTGAATATCGGTTTCGATGCAAGATGTGTCGCAAAATTTTATCCTCAAATCATAAGCAGCTTTAATTTTTTGAAAAACATTTAAAGGTAATATATTAAACAAATTTAATATCAATATGTAGGCTAATCCTTAATTTTTAAAATAAATTTAAATCAAAGACCAATCATTTTTTTTTTATATATTCATAAATTTTATCTAAATTATTTAAAACATTTTAAAATAGTTATTTCAATCATTTTTATGTACTTATCTCCTACATAATTTTTATTCTAAGTATTACTGTTAAAATTTTAGACTGTTCACACCTCAAATTATAAAGAGATTAAAAAATATCTCAAAAGTTTTGGGGTAATGGAGAAGATACACCCACTTCAAAATCAAATTTAATTCAAACAAAATTAAGCAATTTGGATTCGTCAACACCAGGTGTATCTTAAAAATTGGCTAAAAAAGTCATAATGAACTTTATAATAGATACTGTTCAATCATTATCCTTGGTGGATAATGGTTCTTTTATAAAGATGATAAACACTTTTTCTCCACGTACCAAGATATTTTGCCAGCAGACATTGATGGCAAGAATTTTGGATAGCTTTAAAGAAATGAAGGAATCTTTAATATAAGATGTCTCCTACATCTGTACAACAGCAGATTGCTGTGCGACAATAGAAGGTAAAAATGTTTATTTTCTGATTTATAATATATTCATATTTTTAGAGCTTATTTATGAGTGACCGCACATTGGATTGATCCAAAAAATCTAAAACGAAAATCTATAGCATTAGTCCTAAAAAGAATAATTGGCTGTCAGACTTATGACATTCTAGCAAATATTATTTCAGAAATCCATGTCTTACACAATTAAGAACAAGGTTTGTAAGATGATTACAGATAATGGGTCTGATTTCCTTAAGGATTTCAGGTTTTAAATTTATTATAATATGATATAAATATAGATTTGGTGAAGATAATAGCAATACTTGTAATATTCATGACAACGAAATGTTATTATTATTAAAGTGCAATATTAAATAAATTATGTATATATAAATATGTAACAAATTATAGTCATGTTTTTATACCAATATTTTATTTGTGGAAATAAAGTTACGTAAAAAATATTTTAAAAAAAAATCATAATAGCGTAAAAAGTAGCTAATAGCGCGCTCATTTGAAAACGATAGTGGTAGCGATAGCGTGCTATGTTTTTTTGTAAAATAGCGGTAGCGATAGCAAAGTAGCGTTTAACAACACTGGTGATAATGACAGTTACCATCGCTGCAGGCTGACCTCTGATAATTGGAAATTTTGGTATTTCTAAAAACTTCGATATATCAATGTTAAATATTATTTAAAAAATTTATTTCAAATTTCATAATATATTTGTTCATTACTTATTATGTATATAGATTAATGTTATTACTTATTATATAAAAGTAATTTAGCAATAAAAATATTTTATATACTTTTCGAATTGCAATTGAATAAACTATAACTGCATTATAATATATTTAAATTATATTAGTTAAGGTATAGTTAGATTATAGATGTTATACTAATAAAAAATATATTAAAAATTAAACCATTAGTATCTTTACAGAATACAAAATTAAATATGATATCGGATCGGATCGGTAATCAGCCGATATTAATTTAATATCGGGAATATCGGATCGGATCGGCCTCCAAAAATTTTGGCGTTAATACCTTTCGTGAAAAAATTTCGCATTAATGACATATCGTCGATCTAGAATTGGAGTGCTCCACTCGATATTTTCAAAATTTTTGAGTTAGAAGTGGATAATAACTTATTTAGTGCCAATATATATATATAAATAAAAACTAGATTAAAAAATATTAATTTTTGCCAAAGTTATAGCTCTATCAAAATTGATCAATAAGGTTTTCTTATATTTGATTTTAAACTTTAATGTTGATTTTCTCATTTTAAACATTTGCGCAAGTGGAGCACTCCAATTCTAGGCCGACGATATTATTTTAGTATATTCTTTTCATTATTCCTATAATGATATATATTTTTAAATGTTATCATAAATATTTTTAAATGTTATCATAAATATTTTAGTAAATAAATAGTAAAAATTTTAGAAATAATATAAAATATCACCCATGGCAATCATCCCTTTCTTCTTAGCCGGTATCATAAATCTTCCCTTATCTCTGTGATAGGTAAATCGTCCAGCTACACAATTATTTTAAATTAAAATTAAGGATATCAATCAATTATGATTTGCATATTTTTAGCCTAATACGGATTAATATTTATATAACATTGAATGAGTTTACATTAATAAAATTAATTACACTAATTTTAGCTGTAGGTTATAAAATAATAATCTTTTGAGATGAAATTTTAATAAAAATCAATAAAGTGACTAGTAATTATAAACAAGAGGTATATCAACATAAATTTTTGAAATTTACAGTAATTGGCTGCAAATGTTAATATTAGTATGATGACTCACGAGGTCTGTGAAAATGTGGCGACTTGGGAACTTTGATGGGGAGAGTGGTTCTAAGATAGCCTTGATCATTACCGGGATATAAATAGCTTATAGTGTAGATTTGAGCTACACCCCATTCATTGTTGGTATCATATTCGTAAACGCTATTGCTTTGATGGGGGTAATAACATAGCCCACCACCATATGGATTCTAATTATAAATGGAAAATCATATCATTCATTAAATAACTCACATTAAATCTAAAAAAATTTCAATGTTGACCATATCTGCTAGTTTTATTTTCTTTGCGAACAATTTATTTTAAAGTTTATTGGAAATTTCAAAATTGCTTTATCTTTAAAGATAACAAAAAATATAATTAAAAAAATATTTTTTATTTAAAATTATGTTAGCAGTCATAATATCGAGAAATTTTTGTACTCTGCTTCTATCAAGACTAGAATATGGAGTTGAACCACGGGAGAAAAAGCTAGTGTTGGCTGAATGACTGGCATCAAATGAATACTTTTTTGAACCATACATTAAATAGAAATGTAAATTAATAATTAATGTTGTAGTAACTGTAATTTATTATAGAAATTGATAAATTTAGATAAAAATAACTATACCCATTTTTTGGAATGTATATTTACATTTAAAAATAATTTTTATTTATTTAAATAAAGATCAAGGAGATTAATTTATCGATATATTTGATTTTTCAAATTAAAATTTAATTAAACATCTAATTCACTAAAAAAACTGTCTGGGATAGCACATTTTTAATAAATATTTAGGACCCACTTTTTGTGAGAATTTTTTTGTCAACTTAATAAACATCAAGATTAATTATCAGTCAAGATCTGAAAAAATTTTGGATGGGCCGAGGAAAAAATTAATAGGTCTGGCCGGCAAAAAAGCAATGAGGCATGGTGCGCTTAATAGAGAATAAAAAAAAATTCTAAAACCTAATTTGTTAAAGTAATATATTTTATTTTGCTTATAATTTTAATTGTTAAATGACTTGCTACTATGATCATTCATTCATAAATACGATTTACTTTTCCTAATTGTGTTTATTGCTTAATAAGAAAATCATGAAACCGAAATTCTCATCATTATTGGTTATTTTTTCATAGGATATTTATCTGGATTTTAAAAAATCCGGCCTGCAATTTTAGTAAAAGATTAAAACCGGGCCAGGAAAAATTTGAATGAGCCGCAAAACTAAATCCCAACCTGGCTGGGTCTCAAATTTCCCATTTGTAGGCCTATAGTCACTATATTATCCACAAGCATTATATAATAATTTATTATAAAATAAATTTTTTAAAAAAAAGTATTAATTTATAAGGGTTTGAAATATTGATTTTTGGATAAAATTTGTAATAAAATTCAAAAGGGAAGAGGGGGGGGGGGGTTATAATTATCAAAAGTTTCAAAATCGTGTAAGGAAGCCATAAGAATAAACAAATAAATATTTATATTATTAAAACAAATTATCAGATAATTGTTTATTTGTAGTCGAACAAAAGCAATAATTTACTATTTATCAGAGTTGTTAAAGGATCTAGATACAAGTATCTAGATCCTGTATCTAGATATAAAAATGTGGTATCTGTATCTAGATAGATTTGTGATTAAAATATCTGTATCTAGTAACAACTCTGCTATTTATATTCATTACTATTCAAATTATTTAAAAAGAATGGAAGATTCGATTTGCTCTTGATTAGGTCTAGGTGTGTTTAATAAATAATAAATTTATGAAAATATTTTTACGGTGTTGTCTTTAGGAAAGGCGCAATAAGAATGCCATATATCAGTGCCTATAAAAAATAATTATAACCATTTTTATATAAATCAAAATTTTCTAATTTGAGAATTCAGGGAACAAATTCCTTATAATAGGAGAAGAGAATAAGTAAGGAAGAAGTTACTTAAGAGGTTAGACTAATGACGAATTATGAAAAATTAAATTAATTCATATTCAAATTCGATTCGGAATTTGTGAATATAATAAAAGTAATCGTAAGAGTCAAAATATGAAATTGAATTATTTGTAGGAGAATTCGACATAGAATTGAGCGTTGGATAAATAACATAAATCGGCGAATAATTTAATGAAGTATTCAAATTAAATAAGAAAATAAAGTAATAAAACTAGGACGAGAGTTATAATAGGAGTATTCATAGAAGAACGACTCGAATATTGAAATTTTGGATTGGAAAAAGGGGAAAGAAAGTAAGAGATGAAGAGAGAAAATAAATTAAAGGAAAAGATGAGAGGAGGGTAAAGGAAAATGGAATAGGAAGGGAGAAAAGGGGAACGGAAGAGTAGAGCAGAAATAAGGGTTGATAAGATAGGAATGAAAACAGAGAACATGAAAGGTAGAAAAATAGAGGTCGTGAAGCAAAATACGAATTTTAATTATATTTTATCTATCATAAATTTTAAATCTTCTTATTTAGTTACAATTATTTAAAATTTAAGTTATATTTTCACTGGCATAATATTTTATATGATTCATTAGTAATATTTTCACTATTTAGTAATTAAAAATTATTAATCATTAATTACATCTTCATCTTTATTATAAATTATATTTAAGTAATACTATTTAATAATCTACACCTAAATTGGGAATAATAAAATTTTGTAATTAAAACGGCATAAGAATTAAATATACACTATTGTAATACAAGCACACATAAACAAATTTTACAATTGTCACAATAAGAATTAATAGAAATAAGAAAATATTAATAAAATTTATATATTATTGTAACTTTAATTGAAGTTAAACAGGATATAGACATAATTGTAACAGTAATCACACATATAAAACATATATAATAGTACAACAACATATAAACATGATAGATAATTATAACATGAATTAACGGTACACGTTTATAAAATTAATCACATACAAAAAAGGAAAAAGAAACGTTAGAGATAGTAAAGGAGGAGAGGAATAGAATAGATGGCCACGGAGGAGTAATGGATTTGGTAGTCGAAATTGTATGAAAGATAAAAGGAATCCTAGCATTGGTGTACGAGTACATGATATGAAGAGTATTGAAAAATTAACATGGTGAAGAGTGATTAAAAACTTGGATTTTGGTACTAGGGAATTCAATACTGAGATAGTAGAAGGAGAGATTAGAGGAGCTGATGAAATTAACACAAAGGTTTCGCAAGCTATAGATGATGGGGTAATGAGAGGAACAAACATAGAAGGAAAAATAGCACAAGATAGGAGGAAATCCAGATAAAGATGGGAGATGTCAAATATGGAAATATGTGAGGTGACGATTAGAAAAAGAGGAAAAAAAAGACACATTCATTCAATGATTATTTTTTTCTGATTTTTAATTTGAATATATTATTTTGTTTTTGGAAATATGGAATAGAAAATTATACATTAGGGTCAGATAATAAAATAGATTGATATATATTAGAGATCTGCAAAGTTAAGCCCGGCCCACACGGGCTTTGGGCCGGGCCTAATTCTATTTAAAATAATCGGGTTTGGGCCGGGCCTAATATTTTTTAAAAAAATTCGGATTGGGTCGGGTTGGACCTTGGAAATTTTTTTAAATATATCTTTATCAATTTTATATTGAATTTTTTATGTAAAATAAAAATATTTGATTTTATTTATTGAAACCAAACGACATATAACATATGTCTTTTATTTTTAGTAATAATAAAAATTAATTTTTATATTAAATTTTTTTTTAAATATTTCGGGTTCAGGCCGGCAAAACTTTTTTAAAAAGAATTCAGGTTCGGGCCTGGCTGGCAAAACTTTTTAATAAAAATTTCGGGCCGGGCTTGAAAAATTAGGCCCGATGCAGATCACTAATATATATTGTTTTTATGGATATAGGAAATAATAATATAAATAAAATATTGAGGATGTTCATAACTATAAGATCTAACTTCTCCTTTGTTAGAAAAGCGTATGGGAAGCCGTAACCACCTTGCCCTCTTGGGGCAAAATGAATGATTATCATAGATAGGTATTTTAGATCTTTTCTCCAGTCACTGTGATATGAAAAGGTTTACCAAGATAGATAGATATTACACAAAAATACTGTCGACACTGACTCATCATATGGATACTGTTTTCGGCTCTGCAAGGTTATCTTCTGAAAGAGGAACTGATCCTATGGTAGGCTATTACTATGCCATTTTTAGTAATATAGATCTTATGTCTCAGACCTGTTATTGGTTAAAAGATCTGAAATACCTAGATGGAAATATATGAGGTGAGGTTTGGAGGAAAAAGGACCGTCGAAAAGGAAATTGAACACGCATTCATTCACTATTATTATTTTTAGATGTAATTTGCATGCATTCTTTTTTTTACTTAGAAATTATTATCGTAAAAATATGGAATAAAAATATTTAGTAAATATTTTGCTAACCAATTTCAAGATGAAATCATGGTGCTATATGACAAAAAACAAGGGAATCAAGCACTAAAAGGTTCAACTAGTTCAAGCATGGGGGTGTGCGGCACAACAATAAAAGAGGTAATGATATTGATGAAAGTGGTAAGAGTAAAGACAGAAATATGGTAGCATAATAGGTCAAATTATGGTATAAATGAAATTTAACAATTAATTTGATGAATAAATCTTTAAATTAAAATATTCATTTTATAAATATATATGATATAGAGATATTACAATGGAAATAATAATAATTTTTTTTACCTAATAAATATACATCTTCCGCTTCTTTGAAGGGTTGATCACAAATTATACATCGACCGCATTCGGGGTGGAAAAATTTATCACCAGCCTTTATTATATATTATCAAATATAAAAATCATTGATATTTTCACAAAATAGTAAATTAATAATATAATGATCTAGCCACCACAGATTCATAAGCACATCGCTTTTTCCAAAGGTATAAGAATTTTTTTAAAATTATAATTCTCCTTATTCTTTCTCTGATATATTATTTTCCCCTTATTTCTATGATCTCATCATTTGTAAATCAAAATACTAAAAAAAATTACAAATAAATCTGCAAACTAAATAAAAATTGAATCCATATCAAATCAAAGAATCTTATTATTCAAAGTCAATTAAGATTTCATGTGCCATAACTAGACGTGTGCGCCAACGATCGGCTGGCGGCGGCGTACCGATTTAGATGCTGACACGAAAATCGGCGGAGGCGCTAAATATTTTTCTCATGTATAATATTTTATTTAGATTTATAGGACATAATGATAATATTTTAGAGTTCAGAATGAGGCCAATACACGCTCGCTGGGTGTAATCGTAGCGGGAATACAAAGGAGCTTTCAAGTTAATAGAAAGTTTAGGAAGATACAATGCTTATCTTCCAAAAATCAGACATCTTTTATTCTAAATTATAAGGCGAAAATAATTAAATATTCTTTTTCTAGACTAGTTAAATAGTCTTGTTGTTCCAGATTCTTTTGATAAGTTCTTGGTAGCTTTAAGAAAATAGAATTCTGAAGCAACTTTCGCGGTTTCACATTCGGTTAATTAGTCCATATAAGGCAAAAGAGAAGTAGCGTACATAAAATTACACCGGATAAATATTTTTTCCGTTAAATATTTATTCAGTATGTTCAATGAATAAAAAACTAATAAAATACTACCTGAAGACCGGTTATTATCTATGGTCAAATTTGTTAAGCATATTTTATTTAAGGGATGCGATGGGAGGACATATTCTTTTACGATTACATTATTTTTAATTTCACTATGAAATAATAAGGATAAATTTATAGTACATCCTTTATGGGCGGATAAAAATTTAAATTATTTTGAAGGTTCTAAGAAAATTTAAAAGTTCATACACCAAGTCCCAATCAGAGTTAAATAATTTGAAATCCGGTTTCTCCTAATAGAATATTCATAGGATTTTTGTTATTGCCACTCACACTTTCTAACATTATTAAAATACTATACCAACGTGTAGGCACCTTGAATTCTAAGGTTTTATATTATTCTCATATGAGTTTTGATTTGCACTATCATCATCAAGCGATCTTCGTAAAATAGATCCCCAAATCTAAAAATATCGATTATATTTTCAAAATCCGCTGTTTTTAATCTTAGGCAACTAAAATTTCTTTCACTTTTTTAATGAGATTTTCTATTCTATGTCACTAGATTATGCATTCTATGCTCCAAACAAAAATGAATAATATTTATTCATTTTAAAAATTATAATCGCATTTTTTAATAATTTTAAATATATTTTTCTTCTAATTATAATTCATAGATAATATATATATTATTTTTAATAATAATAAATATATATCACACCGCCACGCGGCCGAATTTTTACATCGGTGGCGGCGTATTGAGAGCTGATATTTTTGGGATACGGCATCGGTGTGGTCAAAAATACCAGGAACAGCGTATTAGTGAGATGGCGCACAGGTCTAGCCATAACCCTTCTTAATGTTTTGATAAGGTGCATAGATGAAGATGACATTTCTACGGTGCATATTTTCGACCTTTTTGATATTACAGTTTAAACCATATTTTAAATTAGTCTAAAAGATTTATAATTTGGTAAACTATAGATGGAATGTATGATTAAAATCCTTAATTCTGTTCAACATCATCTATGCGACCAGGGCCGTAGCCAGAACATTCCCGCTGGGAGGCAGCTGCTAACTTGGGGGGGGGGGCACTATTTTTTTAAAATAAAACAAATAATTAAACATTCATATAAATTTTTTGCTATTTTTATAAAAAATTTGTAAATGTAATTGGATACAAAATAATACTATAATATGAATATACAAAACAATACTATAAAATGATTCGATTTTTATTTTAAAATAAATAAATTAAAAAATAAATTATGTATTATTCTTTTTTCGTAAGCCATTAACTAAATTTTGTTTACACTGATCTTTCATTTATTCCCTATGGCTCGATAGAACTCTTTAGTCTAGAGAATGAGGCCTTTCAAGAATCCGTTGATAATGATGATGGCGCTGAGTAGCATTTATACAATTCTTTAAATGCAAGATGATATTTTTTATACATAATATTTAGGATATTTTGAAAATTATGTATTTCTTTAACTTCTGCAGCTAATATCCTTTTGCTATTTTTATTTCACTATGCGTTTCCATATTTAAGTTTAATATGATTCTAATGGGCCCATTTTATCTGATATAAAATAATCATGGTCAATGGGGGGGGCAGTATTAAAACATTATAGAAGATATAAATATCTTGTGTAAATCTATCTAAAAAACGATCAACAAAGTAATAATGATTTCATAATAATTCTTTTTTAAAAAACTCCAATTAGAGTATTTTTCACAATCAAATTGTAATTTGGTCTCAACTATAAAATCTTGAAAATTTGTAGGCGTTTCTTTACCTTTGATGATTTTTGGGGGATAATATTAAATTTTGAATGTTATTCAGCCTTAATTATAATCAAATCAAAACAATTATCGCTTCTTTTATTTTTTTAATATATTGATCGTGAAATCAATGCAAGTTTAGCATTTATTAGATTATACCGACTGTAGATACTTATTTAGTGGATTTATTATTATTAATATCTCATAAATTATAATGGATAATATAACGTAATTTATATTAACGCATTGAGATGAAAAAACGAGAGGCTTCGACTGGATCATGAGTGAAAACCTCTGAGCTAAGAGTTCTATTAGAAAAGTAAAATAATACTTCACCAATAGCTTCAAAATTCTCATAAATGATGCGAGATGTTTCTAAATGACCAGTCCACCTCTGGTCTAAAAGTCTCTTAAGAGTATGGCCTGTATATTTACAGGATACGTTAAAACGCCAAAAAAAATAATACAATGCATTGAATAAATTTAAAAAAATTAGAAATGATAACAATATTATTATACCAATTTTGAACCACAAGATGCAACTTGTGGTTGTAGCAATGTGGGAATTTTTTTATTAATTTTTTTTAAAGTAGGGTTTGCACTCCTCCATTTCGGCCAGACATGACGTTTGCACCATCATATGTCTGGCATATTATATTCGTTAAATTAATATTTAACTCATTAAGTTGCTTTATGCAAAGTAATAACTTCAGCAGAAAAAAATTGTAAATTATATTCCTATTAAATTTTGTTAGATTTCTCCATAAAAAATATAACAAATAATTATATCTTTTGCCTCATCAGTCTTAAGACAAAAAAGGTATCACTTTTGTTATATTTATCTAAGATATTTCAAGCACCATATCTGCCATATAGATATTACTTCGTTTTGAATCTGGGGTGATGTATATTGGGTATTTATGGATATTAATTTCATAATTTTATTTAATTCAAGATCTTTTTGGATGGTTTATGAAAACATTGTTATAAATAGTCCAGAATATTAAATTATGTTTTCATCTTTTGCTGCATCCGTAATTAATATAGAACCAGTCCCATGAAAAGGTAGCATATGCTAAGAAATGCATCAAATCAAATATTGATTTAAGATGATAAGGATTACAGTTAATTCGTTGGCTTATCAGAATTGTTGTTATCTCAGTATCCTTATTTATATTAAGATTTTCATCATGCCAAATTGTTATTGAATTTAAATGAGCTTTCATGTTTTAGCAGTCCATTTTTTTTAAATTTGGAGGGCCAGGGAAATTATTTTTTTGGGGGGGGCCCAATTTTTCTTAAAACGTATTACTATATAATAGCAATAATATAATGAATAAAAATAGATATAATTAAATTAAATTAATCATTAAAATATATGATAAATATGTAACTCTATTGAAAATTATCACCATACGATGCTAAAATATCATTTTTGTTAGTGATACTAAAATTGGGTTATATCAACCTTTGTCTTTATAAATTCAGATATGTAATGAATTAATAAGATTCTGGCAGATATTCTGGAATATCGATTTCAATATAAACGATTGTTCAGAGAATCCCTTGTTCTACATCGCTGCTTTCTAAGTTTTATGTTTTCAATAGGATTAAAATCTGGAGAATGGTAATAGGTGAATATCATGATCCTTGTAAGGTTTTGCAAATGCAGCATAACAAGACATGGAAGATATAATTTCATAGTAATGGGATAAGTACTTCGTTGAGGATAGTGATATTAGTATATTATTATTCATAAAGAAAATACATCCAAGGTTTATGCAATCATTCCACTCGTACCATAATTTATACTATCTGAAAACTTATGTGTGGAGTCTTATCCTATTTCGCAGGCCTAAATCTTATACCAAATTTTGATTATCGTTGAATATGATGTCCTCCCATGGCTCCTTTTTCAATTTACGTACCTTAAAGCTAACTATTTCCCAAATTTCAAATGATTTTTTCTCTTATGAAGAGAATATCTTATTGAATATAATATATGTTGATAAGCTGATATGGAAACTCGTCACTCAATTAAAGGAATCTCAAATTTTCAAATTTTTTTTCTAGTCTCAATTATATATTTCAGAGACCTGCAGAGGTATCATTTGCATGGTCTAGTCTGGCTTTTTTTAAAAATTATATTACATTTTTAAAATATTTTATAGCTAATAATTGCGATTTAAAATATTAGGTTTTAAAATATACACCCCACCCTGGCTTATGTATTTTTTTTAAAAAATTTGAGGCCTGGTCAGGTATTTTGAAAATATTGTCTTTTAAAAGTTATAAGTGTTGTCTCGCAACATTATTTCTCATATTAAATTAACTTGATGTAAAGTTATATTTCAATATAATTATATCCAGATATTTTTGGTTTTATAATTGTTTAAAAATTACCAGTGTACAGCAAAAATAAAAATTTTTACAAATAGTTTGAGGATACATTAATTAAAATTATTATTGTTATAATTAATCTAATAATAGAAAATTCTTAAAATGAAACTAATAACCTGCAACAATTGGCCCTTTATAATTTCATGACATGATTCACATTTCAGAGAATCTAGAGGTCCGATAATAGTTCCGTCGGCACTGATAAGCTTATTATTGATGCTGTCGCCGCTCAAATTATTTGTCTTCTTTGACTGAGAGCAAGGAACTTGTGAGTAAGGTGATTCATTCATCAGAGTAACCAAATTACTATGTATATGAGTTAATATTTTTATTATATTATACATATGGAATAAAAATCAAGAATTTGAATTAGCAGAATTATAAAATGATATAAGTACTTTTTCAGGTGCGAAAAAAAATGCTGATAAATTTTTGTTTTAGGAAAAGGTTAATTTTAATCTATATGGTTTAAAAAAGTGGTATCGTATGAATGGTGCCACTTCATCCCAGCCATACCAGGAGGCGTAGCATTTTTATAAAAAAAAGAAGAAATTAATTAAAGGGGAATGTTGCATTAATTGCACCACCACCTTAATTTATCTATTTAATCATATAAATTAATCTTTATAATTTTAAAAACATAAATATTATCTTTTATTATTTAACCTGGATAAATATCATATTGGATTAATTCCTGTTTCAATTACAGATAATATATAACTTGTGTAGTAAATTTGAAAGATTAAAAATATATTTAATTTTAATATTGTTCTATTGAAGATGATCTATTCTCATGCCTAAAAGGGCTAAAATGGGATAACCAAAACCAGATAATTTTATATTTAGCAGCAATTGCACATCAGATATTAAGCGAGGGTTTAATTTTAATGATTTCTTAAAGGTTATTATTATCTTGTTCCACATCCCTATATAATATTTAGATGTATTAAAACTTTCAAATGGATAGGATACAAACAAGCCAAGAGTGTCGAACCATTATATATAATATAATGAAAGGTTTGGTTTAATTCCAGTTATTTTTAAATAAATTTATATAGGGTTTTTTTTCAGTTGTTCCTGGCACAAAAAAAGAAAATATGTTAAATTTCATAATTTTATTATTTATAATCAACAATAAAAAATAACAAATTAAGTAACATAACCACATAATTTTGTACTATTAATTTTTTAAATTATTTGAGTATATCTAGACCTGTGCGCTGATGAAGCTATCGGCGGCCGGCGTCAGTTTCGAAATTCTAATAGGCGGCCAACGACGTGTCGATTTTTAGTTGCCTAAAGACGCACCGTTATAAAATTTTTATGACATATATTTTTTTAATTACTAATCAATCTTTTTAAGAAAAATAAAATTAAAATTTAGGCATTTTTAGAATTTTATTGAAGAGAAAACTCATTATAAATTCAAAAATAGATTTTGTAATTTTATAATTATCATGTATAAAAATAATTTTATTTAATTTTACGACATAATGCAGGGGTATAAAAAACTTTCACTAAGTGTGCTAAATGCCGTGACATAATTTTTATTTAGCTAGCGTGGAAAGATTAGGAAGCTCGTTCCTTTTTTCTCTCCAGAAATTTAGAACATCTCTTGTGAATGGTGTTTTCCGAGAAGAATATGGCACTTTTGTTCTAAGTCACTTAAAGTGGAATCATAATTTGTACTTGTTGAATGTTTAGTTGCTTGCTAATTTTGTCAAATAATTTGAATTAATTTCCTAATTCCCGCTATATTTACTACCCGAATATCATCGCACTACGTTTAAGATGTTATAATATTCTGACGCGGAGTAATTTTGTTATATTATATATATTGACACATTTTCAATTTTTGAAATTTAGGGTCTAGAAGAGAAGTCATCACTTAAATTATTTTTGAAATAAAAAATTAATTAAATAAATGAACATACTTATATATTATTATTTGCAAATCATAAACCAGAAATCGTAACGAAGTTTTTTTTAGCATATTTTCCTTTCTGAGCTATCATTACATTTATTATTATTAAATTTGTTTTAGATTCGCTTCTAAAATTTGATGGTTTAAGGTAGGCCTTTTTGTGCAGATAAAAATTTTACAGTTTCCTTAAATTTTAAAAGAAAAGCTAATAGTTCTTCTAGTAGATCTGATTCATAGTTTGAGATAGTGTTTCCCAATTCTTTTCAAAACGTTACTAATTAAATTTTTATTTGCCTCAGCTATGGTTTCAAGCATAATTAATATACTATGCCACCTAGGTTGGGACATTCAATTTTACCGTTTTAATATGTGTTTATCGCCAATTAGAACCAAGTATCAAAGTATAGATCAGTGCTAATATCTAGCATATCCGATGTTAGATCTATTGTACTTAGGCATTTTCTTTGATCTGCCTTGAACTCAAATTCAATCTCTATAGTTTTATATTTTAAAGCACTAATAATTTTTCTTATTCTTTAGAAAAGAAATTCAACATAAAATTTTTAATACCATCCATTGTAACCATATTATGTAAACCTTGACCCAAGCATAAGTAGTATTCATATTCACCTAATCAAATACCCTTAACATTGGGTCTCATTTTAAAAATATGTAAAAAACTTTTGGAATTTTAGATTTTCGATTGAATTCTAAAATAAAAATGATGTTAAAATAGGTATAAAAGAATTCATCAAAATCTTGATCGACATAAAAAATTTACAACAATGATGTTGGCCAATTATTAGAATAAAAATGTATAAAATATGGTATTTTTAAAAAAATAGCGTCGGCCATGAGCCGTCAATAAAAAAATCGGCGGCGCACCGGCTTAATTTTAATAAACAGTGGCGTTTTCGACGTAGAAAAAAATATCGACTGCCGGCCGACACCTAGCCAGCGCACAGGTCTAAGTATACCTACCGGTTCGGTTCTCTTCTTTTGTGATGTTCATATAACGGTTCATTTCGGTTTATTGGCTCAGTTTGAGGCTCAAAATCTAAACATTTAAACAAGACTTATTTAAAAGAGATTTTTCCATCCAAAATACTAAACTTTATGAAAGTATTTATATAATTCATATTAATCATTAATCTAATATAAATCCTAGGTTTTTTATACATAATAACTTTTGTTAATTTTAATGATTTTTATTAGCATAAAGAAATCTAAATTAATAAATTGACAATTTAACATTTTTCAACCTTTTTATATTAAACAATTACTCAAACCCGTTAATCGTCACATGGTCCGGTGTAGGATGACCGTTAGATCCCAAATCCCCGTTAATGATTGGTCGGGCATCAAGCCCATGATCTCCCATATGTCGAGTCTCAACGTCACGTGATACAGATTTAATAGGAGAAGGGAGTTTAAGACGAGATGCGCATAAGTCGCAAGATATACCATTTCCGGTATCGAGTATCTCGTTACCGGGAGCCATCTTTACACTTTTTTTATATAGTAACGAATTTAAATAATTTTTGGTAAAGTTTATGATTTCATATTATTATATTATATAAATCAATGAATAACACAAAATAAGTAATAGCTAAACAAGATTTGAGCCCCATACCTGGTATCATTAGGAAGACGTCAATAGATGTGGACTAGATAAGCCATTTAAAAAATGGTTTTAATTTGTACATTATAAGTAGGGATGTAACACAAGGGAAATTTCCTGGGATCCCTTGAAAATTTAAAATTTCTCTTATAGTTTACCCAACATTTTTTACAAAAAATTTCATAAATCTCAATCATTCTCGATAATATAATAAGCTCAACTCACGTAAGATTCAACTGAAGGAATTATTTTAATTAGCTGTAATAATTTAAAATTAAGGCATGTATAATAACTAAGGTAAGAATAAGGAGTAAAATTTTAGGTTAGAAAGATATGGGATGGGACTAGTGGTTAAATTAAAAGCTTGGGAGATATGGATTAAAGTAGGCTTAATTCATTTTTTTGATAACAAATCTGATAGGTCATGGTTCCTAGACAGATAATATAAATTAATGCTTTCGAGCTATTTATGCAATATATGAGCCTGATGTTTCAGCCTTCTCTACAATTTTGGCCCATTTGCATTTTAATAATTGTCAATAAGTTTTAGAAGCTTAATTAAAAATTGAAGTGGTGTAAAATTTTTATCAAAATATGAGGTAATAATCATCAGATTTTGAAATCTTAGACTTAGTTATTATATAATAATTTTAAACTGTGTAGATTATGTTTATCAGTTACTTTATCTTTTTCTCCAATTTAAGGCAAGGTACAAAATTGTTATATCCCTCGTCATTATAGATGCTGGCATTAAACATTTTAAGCGACAATTAGCTCAGGTTTTAGGTAAGGGTGAACCAGTGATGGGGAGGGATCGTCGACATATCAATATGACATAGATTATGGTTAGATTTTAAAACAAAAAAGGATCCAATAATGCCCTGAGGTTAGTTTAGAATGAGAGGTTTGGGTTAGGCTCCACATAAGTGTCAATATATAGGATATACAAAAATGCATTAGTACACTTAATAACTACAAAAGTAAACATTTTTGGAATAAAATAAAATGGTGTATTAAAGTAAAATAAATTTCAATTCTGGAAATTATAAAAAAAATTATTTAGTGTGGATCTAAACTATACCTTACATTCTAAACTAACTTCAGGTACTCTTGAACATTTTTCCTGATGTTATTCTAACCGTAATCACGACTCCTAAATTTATTCGTCATTCAGTGACCACTAAGACTAAGGCTCACAATTCTTTTACAACATGCCCGATATTCACCTGTTAACCAAGATTGCGAAAATTTGAAAAAAAAACATTTGAATATAAATAAAATACGATAAAAATGTATAAATATAAACACTTATTGAGTATTTTCAAAAAAATATTTAAATACAAATTTTGAAGAAAACCTTTTGCAAAAATAAATACTTTTGCAAGTCGATTTTTGTTTTACTATCACCAGGGATGCGAACCCGGCAAATATTTTGCCCGGGTTCGGTTTAAGGTTAGAAAATAGGTGGGGTTCGAACTAGGTTCAGGGTAATATTTTTGAACCCGGGTTTGGTGGGGTTCAGCTCGGGTTTAAGGATTTTTGAATTGATAAAAAAAATTCTATATTTAAATCATAAAACTAGATATAAATTTGGTATAAAAAATAAATTTTTTATTTTATTTATAGGCAAAATATTGTTAAAAATACAATATAGGTAATACAAAGCATAGTCATGTATAGATTTAAACAGAGTTGGGCAGTACCGCGAATACTTGTATCTAAGATACAAGATACTTTTATCTTGTACTCAGTATCTTATTGACATTTTAAATAAGATACTAATATCTGTATCTAAGATCCTTTATTTTGAAAAGAATCTTTTATCTTTTTCATTTTCATTTTCTTTAAAAAGATACAGATATAGATTCTTTTTAATATTCTTGTTTAAAACATTTACATATCACACAATGTAACTTTATTTTCTTCGTGAAATCTTGTATTATTTTTTCTTTATTTTTTCCCGCTATATTTTAAATATATTGATAACCAAAATTAGTTGGAAATGTTATAGGTCATAAAGATAGATAGATTAAAAATAACAACACCAAAACTAAATAAGAGAAGGATATATTTTATATGTAATATTTTTTAATTTGTAAAATGTTTAACAATCATAGTAGTGAAGATGAAATTATGGAGATGGGTTCTCCTGAATCAAATCCGAATCTTAAAATTCTAGATGGAAAATTTTATAAAGTAATTCATGTGAAAAAGAACAAGGTACAAGCTGAATGTCAATATTGCACAAGTAAAAAAGTTATTAAAGGTTCAACAAACTCCTTTACAAACTTTGTTAAACATATTAAAGTATATTATATTTTTATTTTATAATTATCAACATAATAATACCTATACTTAAGTCCCTCTTAGATAATTGTTATTAAAAATTTTTATAGAAGATGGTTGATTACAAATTAAAATCATTTTGGATACATATTTTTTAGGGGTGTGTCGATACCACTTTTTGGAGGCCGATCCGATATTCTCGATATTGAATTGATATCGGCCGATTACCGATCCGATATCATATCTAATTTTGTATTCTCTAAAGATACCAATGCTTTTAATTTTTAATATACTTTATTAGTATAACATCTATAATTTAACTATACCATAACTTATGTCACTCAAATATATTATAATGAATAAACAATTATATTATGAAATTTGAAATAAATATTTAACATTAATATAACGAAGATTTCTTTTTAAAAATACCAATATTTCCAATTTATCAGAGGTCATCTTGCGGCGATAATAACTGTCAATATCACCAGCTTCACTAAAAACAGATTCTGAAGAGAATCTCGCACACCTTTATAAACAGAATGCGCAAAAAAAATAACAATATGGCAGAATATTTATTAATTAATTATTAAACATAATAATTTTCTTTAATGCATTTTAAATTGATTAAATTTTGTAAATAAATACTGTAATGTAATTTTACTTATATTATAAATAAATAAAAGTAACTAATAAAGTTAAATTCTACTTATTATAATTATTTTATTAAGAGCCTTTTAAAATTATCTAATTATTTTATATATCAATTGTAGCTTAAATATTTTCTCTAATAAGAACTTAAAATAATTATATATAAAATATATTAGGGATGCGCCGATTTTTTATCGGATCGGATCGGGCTTTCACCCATTTTAAAATATCGGTTATCCGCCAATATTATAAAATTTGATCCGATATAAAATGGCTTCTTTAACAAAAATAAAATGTTATAAAATTTTTAAAAAAAATTATATATAAAATCATTTATTTTTATAAATAAAATCGAAATCCATTTTTATGTATATTTTTTTTTAATAATAATTATGTATTTAATATTTATAATATAAAGTTGTACATTATGATATTTTTTATATATAATTAATGATCTTGCAAGAAATATATAAAAAATTTGAAAAGATATTTACATGATATATATATATATATGATATTACAAACGCAAGAATTAATAAGTCATATTAGAAAATAAACTAATTTAAATAATACATAAAAATCACAAATAAGTAATGATAAATACTTATTAAAGATAATGAATAAAATAAAACAAGTATATTTTTTTTAGAGATGCCATTTAGCCATATACTCCGAATATAAGCTATATTTAAAACAACACAGAAAATAACCTGCAATTCTAATAAATCATTTGATTTTATTTTTTTTCTTATTTGCAAATTTTCAACTCCCATTAAATATACTACTCTCCCTTCCCTGTTTAAGCTATTAATAGGTATAAACTAATATTAAAATCCCTGGTTATTATAATTAATTTATTAATAAATATTTTATTAATTATTGCAAATAATTCTTATATGTGTTTGCTATGTTCTTCACAAATAAATAATAAAAACTGTATTTTATAAACATCTAATTTAATTGGTATTTATAATTTAAAAGGATCTTGTATTTAAGATACTCTAATTTAGTAAAAGATACAAGTATCTTTTATCTAGTATCTTTTTGATATTTTGAAAAAGATACTAGTATCTGTATCTAAGATTCATTTTTTTAAAAAGAATCTGTATCTGTATCTAGATTCTTTTCCTGGAGGACCTGCCCAACTCTGGATTTAAAAAATTTTATTTAGATGTATTTCTTTAAATTAACAATATCCAATATAATAATTTTTACTTTGACTTGTTCACTTTCATTTTCCTCTAATTAATAATCTTTGAGAATAAGTTAAAAATTAAAAATAAATGGCGTAAATAAATTTAATTGTTTAAAATTTAATAACAATCCAATAAGAATTTTTGAGAAATTTAAAAAAATTTAAAAAGTAAATAAATTAAGTTGTTTAAAACTTATTAACACTACTGGAAATTTGAAAATATTATAAAATGTCAAGTAAATTAATAATATTTGTATTTACAATTATACAAATATTTTATATTAAATTTAAACAATACACTGAACCTGGTTGAACCCGGGTTCAAATAAAATTCCCGGATTCGGTTCGGGGTTTAAATTTTATAAATGGGATTCAGGTTCGGTTTATATTTTTTCCCAAAAACCCGGATTTCTTCTCCAGATTCGGGTTCGGTTCGAACCCCTGGCTATCACATTCATTATTTGTATTATTAGATTTTTATCATAACCATTTTCTAAAATTATCGAATGTCTGCAGTAATACGTAAACATTATATATAATATATTCATTGCTGCAGTGGTTGAATATCATATTATGTAATAATTGTTAATATAATTAATATCACCGTTTTACATGTGCAGAAGAATGAAATTGCTTTAGTTATGAATTTGGTTGAGCAGATATTACATTTAGTCTTCATTATAATTGATTTTGGTAACATTTTTTTCCGCTCAAAATTGTCAAATTACATATAGTGGATGTTGCCGTTGTCACAGAATTCCTGCAAAAATATCTTATAAATTAATAGCTTAATATAGAAACTATTTTTCTTCGATTACTATAATCTTTCATATCTTCAAAAAAAGCTTGTATTTTTGTTTTCGGTAATACTCATTTTAAAAATATATAAGAATTTAAAATGGAAGATGTTAATTTTTTAGATAACTCGGGCAACAAATTTTAATAATTGTATGCTGATCTACATTTATAATTCAATTTATAATAAAAAAATAAATATTTATTCAAAAATCGTGAAATAGTGATAAATATAAAATACTTTTATTTTTTAGTATTTAAAATATAGATACTTTCTAAAATATTCAAATAAATACGAAATACAAGAAAGTATTTGCATTTAATATTTTAAATATTGTATCAGCGTTACTGCCTAAAACTATCGTCGATGATCTCTCTCCATCTATAATCCATCCTCAATTAACATCGCCAACCGACGCCCAAAATAATATAGCTTCTATAGTCCCCTCCCCTTCCTTGCAAACACCTATAATGACGAGGGATATAGCAACAATAAAAGCGCATTATGATGCTTTTCTTAAGTTAAAAATTGTTTTCCGAAGAATCTCCACACACATATAACTAGTTTTATTATTATTAGAGCATTGTTAGTTCAAAGTTATAGATTGAGTGTTTTAATCTGCCTGAGTTCCTTAAAAATTCGTGTATGAATGAATAATTGGAAATAAAAAGGGTATATATAACATTTAAATTTATATCATATAATATAATTAAATAGAATTTTAAAGAGTTCTCTCAAAAGTAAATAAGTAAAAGTATTTTAATGTGATAAATCTTGTTGGAATTTTTTTTGCCTGGTGTTCTAATTTATTTAAAGGTAAATTGTATATTATATACTTATAATCGAGTTCGCAAAAACATAAATAAATTTTGGTTTGCCTGAGATATATAAATTTTTTAAGATGATTTGTCAAGTACCTTATTTTTTCAACTTAAATTTTTTTAAATTGAAAGGCGAAAAACAAATACCTAAAGTAGATAAGACTATGTAAGCGACTAAATATTTGAAAATTTTTCATATTTTTAGATTCCATAAAGTATGCGGATTAGTGTTAATATTTGCTAGTAAATATGATATGCAAGTCAAAATATTAAATTTAAAGAATAACTACTAAATAAAAACTCATACCCACAGGTGTAGCACAAAAAGCAATCGGGGTGATAAAATTTTCCTTCGGCCGTTATAACTTCTCCACTCATGTATTGTCCGCATTTATGGCATCGGGTGCCATATTTTTGGTTGAAATGATTTTGACAATATAGAAAACCTTCTCGCACGCAAAAATTAATTTCCTTCAAAGGCGCAGAACATTCTGTTAATTTGAAAAGTATATATTATCATAATGTAGAGGAAAATAGCAATATAATATTAAAAATTGAGAATTTTTATAGGCAACAAATTTTAAAGTGCTGACATTTAAAAATCTGAGTAATGAAAATATTAATCCAATTTGAAGATTTATAACATTAATCAGTGATAATATTCAATTATTTAAATCTATATAAAATTAGGCTAAAGTTAAATGTAATTCCTTCGGTTTCTAATATTTATATAATTGTCTTAAACAGTATCCAAATGTCAATCCATATCAAATCAATAATCAACTGGCCAACCCCTTCTAATTTTGATAAAATTTGGGAAGCTGAAAACAAAATTTTAGCCCCCAATCTCTTATTACTTGAGATAAGATTAAACATTAGCCTTTACTGCTATTATATGAGTTAATAATGAATAACGAAATCTGTTTGGATATGTTTAATATTAATAACTAGTTTAATGATTAGTAATTATATTATATTTTTCATCCAACACCCACCCGCTCATACGGTGCTTTTAATTTCTTTCTGAATTTCTCGAATCTTTAATAGCTATTATTTTTATGTTTAAATTTATTTTATCTAACCTTTCAGTGACTTATTCTAAATTATTATAATTCTAGCTTTTTATTTCAATAATTTCATATAAATAACAAACAAAATAATTATCAATTATTCATATCATTTTTATTTAAAAAAAGAAGAATGTTCATAATTTTTTATTATAATTGTGTTCCTCTTTCCATAAGCATTTGGCTATAGAAAATAACCTATCGCTGGATGTCGAATTTGTCGTGGCCTGGCTAATATTTTAAAAAAGAAAAGGAATTTGCTTTTTTAAAACTTCAAAATATCTTGATTGTTGTTTTATGGCTGATAATTTTTTTTAGTGCATCCTAACTTTCATTGGTAGCTGTAGACGTTTCATCAGAATCAGAAGAATAAACTAAGAATTCTCTATGTTTCATTAAGAATACGTGATTTTTTTTATAGATGGAAGATGAATTAATAAACTTAAAAATGAGTTGACATTGTATGATACATATCAATCTTTTTATATTATTTATAATTGAAAGCTATTTCGGGTAAGCAATTATTAAAATATTAAGCATTATGTTATTTAATATATGACATGAACATAGTATCTTTTCATCATCTTAGAAGGCGCTTATAAGATTATTTGCTATTATGCTTTTTCTGAGTATTCTTCTAAAAAATTGATTACACTTTTAATATTAGTATTCTTTATAGGAATATTCATCCAATGGTAATCTTTATACTAATATTCATCCAATAACATTTAATATCCATCGCAATAAAAAATAATGTCAGCCTGTCAAAAACAATTCTAGCATCAAGGTAATTTTTACACTTTATATTTGTATTTTAATTTTAAATAGTATCATAATTATGACAGATAATAATAAGAAAACAGACAATATCTATATTTGTAATAGGAGTGTACCGATATCACTTTTTGAAGGCCGATCCGATATTACCGATATTAAATATGGGCTTATTACCGATCCGATATCATATCTCGTAAACATAATAATCGTTTTAATACTTAGTGAATACATCTACTCATCTCATATAATTTTTAATTACATCTATAATTTATACCATAAACATAAGCATGATCAATACTTTATATTCATTCATGAATCCAAAAGCAGGATTGATCCATGGGAGGGGGGGGGGAGTTAAAAATTATTTTGGGAGCTTCGCCCTCAAACTGCATTTTAAAAATTTGCCAATTTTGTGTTTTATTGGTGTCTAACCGTAGCCAACATAAATGAAAAAAATAATAGTAACAAAATTTTGGCCAAATTTATGATTAATACGCGACTGAAAGCATTATTCTAAAAATTTTATCAATGTTTAGTGAATTGTAAATTAATTCAATCCATTCGGTGTAGAAAGAAGAATAAAACTACTCCCCAAACCTCCCATTTTTTATGATCACTCAAAATAATTATTTTAATTAAATTTTTGCATACAAAATTTTGCAGAGAATTTCATTATAGATTTTATTCATTATTTACACAATAAAATAAATTTCAAAATGTATATATTTTATACATATTAATATTAAAAATTTATTCTAAATAACTATATTAAAAAAAATAGAATTACAATAAAATATGAGTAATTCTTGTGCGGTATTTAAAAAAATCTAATTTAACAATTATAATATAATTAATACAAATGAGTATATTAATAAAACAAAAAAATTCTTATTAGAGATCCGCAAAAATAGGAAAATCAGGATCGGGCTGGGTGGGGCCTAATATTTTTTAAAAAAATTCGGGCCGGGTTGGGTCGGGTTTTGGAAATTTTTTAATATATATTTTAATATATCAATTTTTTGTTAAATTTTATGTAAAATAAAAATATTTGATTTTATATATAAAAACTAGACGCCATATAACATATATCTTTTATTTTGAGTAATTATATAAATTAATTTCTATATTTAAATAAATTCGAGCCAGGCCGATAAAACTTTTTAAAAAAAAATTCGGGTTCGGGCCGGCAAAACTTTTTTAAAATAATTTCGGGCAGGTCCGGGCTTGAAAAATTAGGCCCGATGCAGATCATTAATTCTTAGTGCAAATGCAATATTTTTATTAAATATAGTGTAATATATAAATATTATGACTAAGAATTCATCATAATTACGTCTTGAATATAAAAATTTTATGACTAAGATCATATTATAATAATATAGCAATTTTAAAATTTGAATTTATAAAGAGAGGTCTACTTTTCTCTGAGATTTGACTAATTCATCTAGAAACAAATTTTTATCTAGAATAATCTCCTTATAAATATTTAATATTGCGAATCCATTTAAACGGCATTTACCGGTGCTATTTCTTAAATAGGTTTTTAAACTTTTCAAAGTTGAAAAAGACCTTTCATTAGTGCAGGTGCTAATCGGTAAGGTAGCTAAGATAAAAAGCAATTTTTTGATATTATGCAGGGAATCTAAAGTGCAATTATACATGGAAAGGGCCTGCATAGTACTCTATTCTGTCAAAATTTTTATACCAAAATTCGACATCACAAAGTAATTTATCATACGATCCTGATAATTCATCAGAATAAAACTCTGAGATTTTCTTAATATCCTCTCGCGTTTCAAGTGTATTTAGATTACCCCTGCAAAAGAAAATAAAAGCTGTTTAAAATAAAATTGTGACTAATAAATCTTTCCTTTAATTGAAATAAAAATGTATCAATAAGGGGAGTAAAAATATTTATTTTATATAAATCCTCAATCGTAGATGCATCAATATTTATGCGATTGGAATATCTAGAAACTCTAGGTTTAAAATTTTTAATCCCAAACATATTCGCGATCACCTTTACTTTCTCATTATATTTACCAAATTAAATTAATTTTCTTTTATTTAAAAATTATAAAAAATTAATTAAAATTTTTAAACTATTTAATTAGTTTAACAATATAAATTTATTATTAAATTTATAAATATCTAATTTAACTATGCGAGAAAAAATTTACAATATATTTTTATTGTTATTTAATATTTTACATATAATTTTTAATATATATTTTTAAACCTTGTTATAATTTAAAATTAAAAATTCTTATTTTTTTTTTAAATATATTTCATTTTCATATCGTATATAATTTTATTTATAAATTGAAACCATTTTTTAAATAAAATTATTTGCAATAAGGAAAAAATTTTAAAAAAAAAATTTTTTCGGAAGCCCTTCTCTACGCCCCTGGATAAATCACTTATTTATATGGTAAATCTATTTGTAATAAGTAATAAACTAATATATTATGAGATTCGAAATAAATATTTCAAAAATGAAAATACCATTGTATCAGATCGGAAAATTTTATCATAATTGGCGACGATATTTTTAAGAATATAAAGTATCGGCCCGATCAGATCAAATAAAAAAATATCGGTGCATCCCTAATAAGAGTGTAATTATTAATTTGATTTTAAAAAAAAGTAATTATTTTACATTTTATGATAATAAATTAAATATATCAAAACAAGTACTCACCATAAGAAAAATTCCATATATTTTAAGTAAGATTTAGAAGAAAACAAGATATAGTTAATTTATAAAATAATAAATATTTTTCAAAAGTATAATTTTTAACAAATTTTATTTATAACAATTATCAATAATTTAATAAATCTAACCACAGTCTTTGTCCTTTTTTAAATTTTTCATCAAATTTGGGATTTAGATATTTAATGATACTATAATACAGATAACAATATATTTCATAACCATAGTGAATTCCTATCAAAATAAAACAGTATCAATGTTTAAATTGTATGACGTAATATTGTGTATCATATGTTTGTTTATATTTTTAAAAAATCGAAAAGTTTTACTATTTTCTTCTAAAAAAAATGCTCCAATGCCATGAGAAGATGCTTCAAACCTACTCAAAACTATGCGGAGAACATTTTACCAAGGAGTGCTTTGTACCTTTCCTTATTAATAAAAACCGAACCAATCCCACAATCTAATAAATATTTGCATATTTTAATTTAGCACATTTACAATTTACCCATTTGAAACAAAAAAATTGAAAATAAACAACGATTATGACAATTGTAACTTATCTATGGTACATTCACTGTTTATTTAAACATGTTAACAATACTTATTTTAGCCCATTTACGTCAAAAAAAATCAAAAAAGTTATAAAATAACGATTATGACAATTGTCACTTTTCTATGGTACATCTTCATGAAATTTTAATTTAACATGTTTACAATCTATATTTTTACCCATTTACGTTAAAAAAATTTAAATAAGTTCAAAAATAATGATTATGATAATTGTCACTTATCTAGGGTACATCTTCACTGAAGTTTTATTTAAACATACTAGCAATACTTATTTTAACGCATTTTGGTCAAAAAATTCAAAAACTTTAAAAATAAGGATTATAACAATTGTCACTTTTCAATGGTAAATCTTCATGAAATC